TCCACATTCTACGCAGACACTGTATGAGCTATACTCACGTCTCTACGTTTACGCAACTGAGGCCTTCCAGCGAGACCTTGAGTCGCTGCATCATGCACTCTTCCATCACATCCGGCGTGAGGGCTGGTCAGCAGCTTCGACGTGGTGATGAAGCGAATTCGGCTGTGCTGTGCCTGCTGCACCCGGTCCCGGCACCTGCAGCTGCAAAATAAAAGCGGGGGAGCAACCATGCACTTGCAGCAGGTGGTCGGGTGGTATAGGTGCACGCTGCGCACTTGTGTGCAGCCTACGCTGAGCCGGCTACGCCGGGCTGGTGTGGCACCGGGCCCCATGGAACGGGCTGCGCCAGCACTGCCAGATATCTTCTGCGATTTCGTGGTCAGATTGGTCGTTGAAGGCATGAGCGCACCGTCGCCGGCCTGCGCAGCGGCGTTCCTCGTCCCTCCACAACTCTCGTAGGGTGTCCTGGAAAGGATGCGACGATGGAAAGTGAATGTGAAGAAGATTCCACTGACAGGCAAGTCACGCAAATCCAGCCACGTGTGTGGTCTCGAACGGTAGCTTCTTGGGCTTCGAGGCTTGGCATCTCACTGGCGGTGGACGCCAGAGGAGGAAGAATGTCCTTGGCCACAGAAGGGAGCTCAAAGATCAAGACGACTGACACTGCGGGGCTCTGGCCGTCGCACTGCAATCCACTTCCACCTGGCCGGCACTCGCATGCAGTAACTGTAACTGCTGATAACTGCTACGAAGCATCTGGCAAGGCTCTGCCTCACAGGTGGTTGCACGCGGGTGTACAGACTTGGGCCTCGCCGCGGTTAGTTTCGGTGGGCGTGCTTTGAAGGGCTCCCGACCCGGCTCCCGGCTCCCGGCTCCGGCCTGCACTGAGAGGCGGCTCGGTCACACCACCAGGGCCGCTCCAAGGAGCGCCTTCTGAGTAATCGTTCTCGGGCGCTGGAGCCCAACTTGGAAAGCCACACAGGATGCCAAGGAAAAGTCGACAAAGCTTGCTTTGGAAGTTCACCGCGCAAGGCGATTCGTGTAGGATCGACAACAAGCTCTCTCATACCACCAAGTCCAAATGAGTCCAAGAAGTGCAGCAGGTATGGCAAGTGGACCTCGAAAGGCTGAAAAGATGTGGAGAGCACGGCGCCTTGCTGCAAGAGGTGCGCCATGAGTCCCACGTACTGAGGTTGTGAGGCCCAGATTTGGATGAAGAGCTCCTCCCCGTCCTCTCTGCTGTGTCCGTTACATCCGTACACAGACTGCCAGCCAGTCACCCACCGCAGGTCGTACACGTACCTCGGCTGTGTGCAGTATGTGTAATTCTTCAAATTGCCAGTGTTGACAGCCAGTGCGACCTGCGCTGTCCTTATGTTGAGCATTGTCGGGTGCTCTGCTGCTTGCCTGGCATGGGCTGCGAGGCTGTGCAGTGGGCGCTAGGCCTGAACAGCGATACATTGCAAAGATTGGAAGAGTCTGTTTACGGCACTGCATGCTCTTCTATGAGCTGCAGAATTTGGTGTTTCTTTTTGCGGTGTGGGGGGTCTCCTGGGAGGGAGTGAGGGATTCGAGGGAGGGGAGAGGAGGGAGGCCGGGGAGGGGAGGGGAGGGGTTGCCTCCTTCCTTCGAGAGCAAAGGACGAGCATCCCCCCTTCAAAAAAAAAACAAATTCCCTCAGGCGCAAAAAAAAACCTTTTCCCACAAAAAATTGCCCTCCCCTCTCGGTTACGGTTAAGATGCGCTTGCAATCGCATCAAACCCTGCTCGCTGCCAACCCGCTCAAACTCCCACTAAACAGAAATGAGCTAGAACGCGGAGAGAGGATGCACAGGCAGCCCCTTGCTGAGACCGCAGCGACCTGTCTCGCGTACCCCAAGCGGCGAGATTGGCACGTCTGAGCCCACGCAATGCAGCATGAAGGGATAAAGCTGGTGCGATGGACTCATCGGACACGTGTCGTTCAGCTGCAGGCTGTGCAACTAAGCTGGTCTGGTGCAGACACATTGCCTTGGTCGCTCTAAAGACATCGATGAAACCCATAATCAGAAGCACAATGTCAGCCCGCATCTGATTGCATCTACACGAATCCACTCGAGTCTGCTTGCAGCCGAGGTTACGTGCTCGAGGCCATCGGCGAAAGTTTGTAGGAACCCCTCGACAAGACGGCAGTACCCCTGAAGGATGGTTTCATGCCTCCGATGTGACACAGGCTGCCATCCTCGCCTCGCGCCCATGCTCTTGACCGATCTCCTCTATCTGGGCCACGTTCACCTGCAGCGTACGGTAGACGGTCCATCGTTGCCAAGTCTTCGAAAGTCGCCCATCCTGGACATAGAAGAACGGGAAGATGCCGTGAATGTGAGTGCCTCTGCACCAGGCAACTTCTCATCTCGAGATTGAAATCAAAGTTCTTGTGATGGGCCAGTGATCGATCGGTGTTGACGGGTCGCGGCGCCACTGGCATGGGATCTTGGAGAACCCGACTACGCAAGGCGAAATGATGCAAATCCGACAAGTACGGACCTGAAATTGCTAGCCTACGGAGATGAAGCGTGTGGCTCTGGGCCTCTGGGCCGGACCAAGAAAAGCGGCTACCATGCTTCCAAAGGCTGCTTTCACGTGCTACACGTTGAAGCACTCGAATGATCTCTGTGCAAGGAAAGAACGATCCAGCTCATTGAACATATCACTCTGACTGTTGTAGTGGATTCCATCCTACATTCCCTCGTTTCCTGTAACCCACACTCTGCCGAACAAGTCGCAAGCAGTCTGTCCGGTATCGGTGTGGCCGAACACTCGGATGACCTTCGCCGGACCACGACGTGCAAGAACAGAAACGCAGCAAGAAACACGAACGCAGCGTCAAGTGTGCCGAAGGGAGCTGTCTTGGGCTGTTGCCGGTACTTCCTTTAGCACCTTGCCTGCAAGTCATGAAGGCGTAAACGGCCCTCAGATGCAGTGCTTCACAGCATGACGTGCATGATCTGCATCAGCCTGTTGATGGAGATCGGGCTTGATCGCCCACACCTGGCCTGTCTTAGTCAAACCCCGTGCAAAGGCGATGGACAGGGCAGCTGAGTGCGGGGCTTTGCGATGTAGAAATCCAAGCTGACAATGGTCACCTGAGGCAGAAATCGTGAGTTTTTGTTTTGTGCATGAATCGTCACCTTGACGCTCACTTTCCATGGGGCAAGTTGTGGAGGATTGATTCGAACACTTTGTGGAGCATCTGTTTTGGTATTGTCTTGGTCCAACCCACACGCCCCCCGCAGTTTGTGCAGCCGATTTGCCGGACATTAATCTTGAAAAGCAGGCATGGCGCTTTTACCATGTTTGGGAAGCGGTGCAAGATGTATCGAACGCTGCCCGCAAAACTGCAATGCATATGTCTTACGACGATGAACAGTGTCCACACTGGTGTGGCCACCAGGAGACGAAGCAATCTTGCGGAAGCTGCTGCTGCATCAGCTGACGATCAGCTCGTCTCAGCAGTGGCAGCAATCAGAGGCTGTGTGCTGGTGCAACCATCAAGTATACAGTGGAAGCAGTGGGCAAAGTTTGGGGCAAATCGGGCCGCAGGTTGTAGCACTTGCCAGAGCTTCTTGACGGGAGTAGGACCCTAGGAGCTTCTGGATTCTGGATGAGCCAGGAGGCCAGGAGTGCCTGGGGCGGCCTGGCCCAGATCCTGGCCTCGAGTTCTACTCGCTCTGCACACTCTCGTGGCCAGGGCAAAGATTGCGAGATCGACAGACCGAGTTGATTTCAATTACAACTGCCGTCAAATCCGGCCTTCAAGGAGGCTGCTTATCTGATTGCAACAGCTTCGTCCCCCGTGAAGCGCAAGCACTTCTCGGACATTCTAGGACACAGAACCCGAATGCGACGCGTCAGTTCGAGAACTGTTTACGTCACACGGCCTGCTTTCCAAAATTTACCTGGAACTCTGTCAAACATGACGAAATATGACGAAACATCGAAGACACAGGCGCCAACATTCGATGTAACATCGGCAACAGGTGTCACCCGGACAACGTCTTGAAACCATCTAGTGGTGACAGACTCATCAGCTGCAAACGGCTGCGCTGGTAAGCACGTGTTCCGATTCACGGATGGCTCGGCTTTCGTTGCAGCTTTGCAAACTGGTATGTCCAACGTCACATAACGTCACCAATCGACCACCATTTTTAAGGCCATCGGTGCCTATGCAGAGAGTCTGGCAAGCCCTTGCACGCTGATGGCCGTTGATGGACAATGAGATGCTCAATCCTGCTATTTCTGGCAACCGCTTCGTAGGCGCTAGGCCAAGAGCGGTCGTGGTTCGCGACCTTAGCGTGAAGTGCGACAGCACAAGTTGTGCTGCGCATGAGCATCTTCAACCGAGCATGCAGCCCTGCGCAACACTGGTCGTGTGCATTCAGATGGATAGGAGCCATTGGCGTGAGACCCATCTGAACAAACTGGCCGTGGAGAGTTGAGTCGACATCCTCAATTTTCATGGCCACGAACGTGATTGAACTGGCTACGGAACGCTTCAAGAAGGCGTCTTGTCCACACATTGCAAGACACAAGTGTCGACCCGTCGACCGTGCAATAAGCTGGGTGATGCGCAGCATGGCATGTTACCGTCGAAATGGCAAGCACACACTATGCAGGCACTGCTCTACGGCTGACCCATGGCAGGCATCCCCTGCGGTCTCTGACGTTCTGCCCAGCTCTGTTTTCAGCGCCATGGCACGTGCTTGTGCTGGTGAAACAACTCTGCTCCAGAAGTCCGGTGTTGAGATGACAGAGCACGAAGGTTGTGGGGTTGTGCCATGCGTGGATCCCGAGCTGGAGCACAAGCAGAAAACTACGAACACCACTCCCTTGCTCGTGCCACCCATGCCCTTCAAGTTGAAGTCTCAAGATGTGCTGCAAAGGATCGGATTTGCGGAATGTAGTTGATGAGCAGAAACGGTGCAGCAGTCAACCATCCACCGGGACTTGTTTGATGTCAGTCAGTCTCGGGATTGACCTCAGAGAAACCGACACGGGTGTCACCGGGCAGCGAGGAATTAGTGATAATAGTAGTCGTCGTCGTAGCACTCGTATTGGTACTAGTGATAGCACGATAGTACTAGTGATACTATTCGTGATAGTAGTAGTAGTAGTAGTAGTAGTAGTAGTAGTAGTAGTAGTAGTAGTAGTACGTAGTACGTAGTACGTAGTACGTAGTAGTAGTAGTAGTAGTAGTAGTAGTAGTAGTAGTAGTTGTAGTTGTAGTAGTACTACTAGTAGTGGGAGCTAGCAGCTAGTAGCTACTTGCTCACGGCCATGTCTAAAACATGCCGCCTGGCACTAGCCGCTACGCAAAAAAGCTCTCGAACGTTTGCGCCGCGGAGGAGTAGTAGTAGTAGTAGTAGTGGTGGTAGTAGTAGTAGTAGTAGTAGTAGCAGCAATAGTAGCAGCAATAGTAGCAGCAGTAAGTACCCTGGCTCGGCCGTGTTCCACTAGCAGGATGCCTTCTTTTGCCTGACGAGCTTTGCGTAGATGCCATGGAATGCAGACCTCGTCACTCAGCCTTCAGGGGTATTTTGTTTCTACTCTTGTGTGCACTGTTGGCGACTTGGGCAAAACCAAGCCCCGATCTCCGCAAGGAATCCCCAGGCCCTTGATCTGAGGGCAGCCCCATGCACGAGGCAAGGATGCCGCCAGGCTGTCAACTGGAAACGTGTACGGAATAGTCGACGCGCGACCAAAAGATGCAGGAATGATGATATGCAGAGGCAGGCCGACACTATCGGCTCCCGTGGCGTTGTGTCAGCCCACCGCAGAGCCGGGTCGCGTATCCTTTTTGTCTTTTTTTTTGTGTCAAAATGTCTTTTTTTATGTCTCAGTTGACGTCTCGGCTTACACATTCCAATGTCTCGGCCATGTCTCGGCCATGTCACGGCCATGGTGAGGCGTCTACGACACAGGACATCTGTTCAGGCCTAGGCCAAATTAGAAACCCGCTCACGCATGGCATTGTCTCGGCCATGTCACGGTATGTCTCAGTTGACGTCTCGGCTTACACATTCCAATGTCTCGGCCATGTCTCGGCCATGTCACGGCCATGGTGAGGCGTCTACGACACAGGACATCTGTTCAGGCCTAGGCCAAATTAGAAACCCGCTCACCATGGCATTGTCTCGGCCATGTCACGGTATGTCTCAGTTGACGTCTCGGCTTACACATTCCAATGTCTCGGCCATGTCTCGGCCATGTCACGGCCATGGTGAGGCGTCTACGACACAGGACATCTGTTCAGGCCTAGGCCAAATTAGAAACCCGCTCAAACCCTAAACCCTAAACCGTAAAGCTTCAACTCTAAAACCTTAGACCCTCCTAAGCCGTTAACCCTAATCCCTAAACCCTGGCGAACCCCGAAAAAGTATGTCCAAAAACGCTTAACCAAAAACCCCTAAACCTTACAACCAAGTCCTTAACCCTAAACCACAACCTTAAACCCTAAACTTAAACCCTAAACCTTACGCCCAAAGCCTAAACCCTAAACCTTACACCCAAACCCTAAACCACAACCCTAAACCCTAAACCTTACTCCCAAACCCTAAACCCTAAACCGTAAAGCTTCAACTCTAAAACCTTAAACCCTCCTAAGCCGTTAACCCTAATCCCTAAACCCTGGCGAACCCCGAAAAAGGGTCTCGGCCGGGTCTCGGCGGAGTCTCGGCCAAGCGTAAATCCTGAACCCTAAGCCCTATGTCCTAAACCCTTAACCCTAAACCCCTAAACCTTACAACCAAGTCCTTAACCCTAAACCCTAAACCCTAAACCTTCGACCCAAAGCCCAAACCCTAAACCACAACCCTAAACCCTAAACCTTACACCCAAACCCTAAACCCTAAACCGTAAAGCTTCAACTCTAAAACCTTAAACCCTCCTAAGCCGTTAACCCTAATCCCTAAACCCTGGCGAACCCCGAAAAAGGGTCTCGGCCGGGTCTCGGCGAGTCTCGGCCAAGCGTAAATCCTGAACCCTAAGCCCTATCCTAAACCCTTAACCCTAAACCCCTAAACGTTACAACCAAGTCCTTAACCCTAAACCACAACCCTAAACCCTAAACCCTACACCCAAACCCTAAACCCTAAACCAGAACCTTAAACCCTAAACCTTACTCCCAAACCCTAACCCTAAACCCTAGAGCACAACCCAAAACCCTAAACCCTAAACCCTCGTAAGCCCTTAACCCTAATCCCTAAACCCTGGCGAACCCTAAATCCGGGTCTCGGCCGGGTCACGGCAGAGTCTCGGCCAAGCGTAAATCCTGAACCCTAAGCCCTATGTCCTAAACCCTTAACCCTAAACCCCTAAACCTTACAACCAAGTCCTTAACCCTAAACCAGAACCCTAAACCCTAAACCTTAGACCCAAAGCCCAAACCCTAAACCACAACCCTAAACCCTAAACCTTACACCCAAACCCTAAACCCTAAACCGTAAAACTTCAACTCTAAAACCTTAAACCCTCCTAAGCCGTTAACCCTAATCCCTAAACCCTGGCGAACCCCGAAAAAGGGTCTCGGCCGGGTCTCGGCGGAGTCTCGGCCAAGCGTAAATCCTGAACCCTAAGCCCTATCCTAAACCCTTAACCCTAAACCCCTAAACGTTACAACCAAGTCCTTAACCCTAAACCACAACCCTAAACCCTAAACCCTACACCCAAACCCTAAACCCTAAACCAGAACCTTAAACCCTAAACCTTACTCCCAAACCCTAACCCTAAACCCTAGAGCACAACCCAAAACCCTAAACCCTAAACCCTCGTAAGCCCTTAACCCTAATCCCTAAACCCTGGCGAACCCTAAATCCGGGTCTCGGCCGGGTAACGGCCGAGTCTCGGCCAAGCGTAAATCCTGAACCCTAAGCCCTATGTCCTAAACCCTTAACCCTAAACCCTAAACCCTAAACCTTACACCCAAAGCCCAAACCCTAAACCACAACCCTAAACCCTAAACCTTACACCCAAACCCTAAACCCTAAACCGTAAAGCTTCAACTCTAAAACCTTAAACCCTCCTAAGCCGTTAACCCTAATCCCTAAACCCTGGCGAACCCCGAAAAAGGGTCTCGGCCGGGTCTCGGCGGAGTCTCGGCCAAGCGTAAATCCTGAACCCTAAGCCCTATGTCCTAAACCCTTAACCCTAAACCCCTAAACCTTACAACCAAGTCCTTAACCCTAAACCAGAACCCTAAACTGTAAACCTTAGACCCAAAGCCCAAACCCTAAACCACAACCCTAAACCCTAAACCTTACACCCAAACCCTAAACCCTAAACCGTGAAGCTTCAAGTCTGAAACCCTAAACCCTCCTAAGCCCTTAACCCTAATCCCTAAACCTGAACCGTAAAGCTTAGAACCACAGCCGAAACATGTGTATGTAGAACAACAGACAAAAAAAAGACATTTTGACACACAAAAAAAAGACATTTTTGACCCCAGACTCAGCCCGCAGAAGCTGGCCAGGCTGGGCTTCAGGTCCGTCACAAGTGCACACAGGCCAGCCTTCAGACATGCACCAGCCTCCAGGTGCAAACTTGCAGGTGCCTACCACAAGCCAGGCTCCAGGTGTGCAGGCGCTGGCAGGCCAGGCTCCAGATACAAACGTGCTGTCCGTCTGGGCTGCGGTCCGTGTGTACGAACCCCCCACCAGTGACGAGACCCAACCCATGGGCTCAGGACATCCAAGCAAAGCTAGTCATTCGCATTGCTGGCCCGGTCCCAAGTCCGCGGTGAAATGAAAATCTTCCTTACTGCTGATCTGTTTAACAGGACTCATGGTGTGAGGGTGCCAGCTCTTTCCGCTGGAGCTGGGGGAAGCAGCACATTCGTCCACGCTGATTCACAGCACGTGCTGAAGCAAGCGTAGATTCAGTCATTTATAGTAATTTATAGGTAACCAAGTCCTACACAAGCCTTTTGTTGCCAACTGTCAACCGTTTCCTCGCGTGAGCTTGTTGCAGAAACTGCGCTCTTTTCGTTTCCTTCAGATACCCGATGAGTGTTCGGCTGCAGATCATCGCTACCTTGTCCCGAATGCTGACCGAAAGCTGGCGGCGGCAACCTTGCTTCGAGAAGTGGTTTGGATTTTGACGCGTGCGTCCCGCCAGGCCACAGTTAGTATGTGCGAAAAAGCTGTGTTCCGGCGATGCTCTGCAGCCAGGCCTCCCTTGGGTGCTGAAGTCTCTGGAGTGAGCCTAGTGGCGCCACTCACGACCCCTACTGTCTGATGCCTAGTGTGCCATCCAACCAGCCGTGTTAGCACCCGATGCACTCGGGTCGGTTGTGCTCCGTGATGCTTTTGATTTTCTGAGCATTTTTGATTTTTAGTTGTACCGAATGCGCTGAGTAGGCCTCGAGTTTGCAGCTATTCGTAGCGGAACTCGACCTTATGGCCACAGTGCCCGAGAGGCACCGGTGCATTGTACTGCCATTAGACTGACATGCCAAGCTGAGCAACCTGCTGCGATTGGAATGAGTAGTAGTAGTAGTAGTAGTAGTAGTAGTAGTAGTAGTAGTAGTAGTAGTAGGAGTAGGAGTAGGAGTAGGAGTAGGAGTAGTAGGAGTAGGAGTAGGAGTAGGAGTAGGAGTAGGAGTAGGAGTAGGAGTACGAGTACGAGTAGGAGTAGGAGTAGGAGTAGGAGTAGTAGTAGTAGTAGTAGCAGTAGTAGTAGTAGCAGTAGTAGTAGTAGTAGTAGTAGTAGGATTAGTAGCAGTAGTAGGAGTAGTAGTAGTAGTAGTAGTAGTAGTAGTAGTAGTAGTAGTAGTAGTAATGGTAATGGTGATGGTAATGGTAGTAACGGTAGTAGTACAGGTTGCTGCTGCTGTTGCTGTTCCTGTTCTTGCTCTTGTTCTGTTTACACGTAGGTAGCAGGTGGTGCTGGTAGTAGTCAGTCTCTCGGTGTGTCTCTTTCTGTCTGAAGGGCGAAAGGGGAGATAGGAGGGCGCACCGCGGATTGGAGTGGTAAAGGCTTCAGGACACGGCCTATCCTAACGTTTTAGGCCAGGAAATGACGAAGCTATCTCTCTCTCTCTCTTTCTCCCGAGCGTAGGGGCGGATCAGCGCCCCGGGCATCAAGCCCACTAACACCCTTTCGGAGCAGTTTTTGGGGTATAGTATTGACCTGACGGAAAGACAAAATGTGTATGCTCTCAGTAACAAATGTCCCCCTTTAATCGACTGTATGCCATCGCTCCTCTACAACGTCAGAACAGCCATTACAGCAACAAAACACGGCATGGAGCACAGTTCGACATGTCATGTTTGCAATTCCCCGATCATGACGGTGCAAAGGGTGGAATCAGGTGCATGCTTAATTTCTTCGACGTCGACTTCATGAGCACAAACTACATTGTTAACAGGATCCACAACTGCTCTCTCTCTCTCTCTCTCTCGCTCTTTGTCTCTCTCCCTCTCTCTACGGGCATGAGGAGCGTGTCAGGCTTCCTGGGCCACAGGTGTGCCCGAAAAATTCTGGTTTTCGAGTGCAGAGCACTCTTTTCCCCTGTCTTCCCCTCTCTTGCAAAGCCTTTGATAGCAGCCAACGGATGTGGACAGTCGGATGCTGCAAATCCCGAGAAACCTGCTGAAATGCTGAGAGGTCTTTGCATCCTGAGGCTGCGGCTTTTTGTTAGACCTTTGCCGCTCCTGGCGATTCTTTCGGGGATTTCGTCGATCGCTGAAGCGCACTTGATTTTGACTGCGACAGCACCAACCGCAATGCCAGTGCCGAGGTCTCAGGCCGCACATGCTCGCACCGCACCCACTGTTGCTAACTTCGATCTCATAAGAACTAAAGAAACGTTGGCATTCGAAATGCTCGGAGTTCATGCTCCATCTTCCGAAGGAGGATCACGAGCATGGCTTTCTGGATCTGATCGTCTCCCAGTTCTTCCGCAGTATGCCATATTTTCGAGTGTTGGCACGAAGAATGCTTGCAAATTCCTGAGGAAACTCCGATGCACTCGAAGCTTCGTGCGTCAAAAGCGATGAACCGACTTTTCGTGAGCCACCCTGCCATGCAACGCGTTTTGAATAGTGAGGTCAACACCGGCAGATCTTCGTCCGAAATGAAACAATCAAGCACAAGCCGTGTAGCTGCGGCAGTCGCCTGCTGGCACTGCACTCTTTCGCCAGATCTACGATCCGTTGGGTGCAATCCTGCAGAACCTTGGCAGTCGGACAGAAAGGCTGAAGGACTGCGGGCTCTTCACATGCACCCTTCCGGTGAGCTTCTTGCTTCTCGTCGCGTGTCCTCCTTGATTACAGCCTTGCAGTGGCTGACCTGCGACGGCACCACCAAATTCGAGCGGACATCAGCTGCCATCAGCTGATGCACAAACTGGGCACGACCTCCTTCTTCAGCTTCAAGTACGGATGGACCTTGTGACAAGATGACCCCAAACAAAAAGCAGGTCCATGTAATACGTGCTCCCTGCTCCTTTGAAGTCATCGTCGGCCTCTTCCAAGTACCTGGGTTCTGTGCCACGGCTTGTGTTGCAGAACCTGATTGCCATAACTTGGACGTTTGTGTTTCGCGATTGTTCGTGCCTGTTTGCCATCTTGCCGTCGACGTCCGATCGTCTAACCCCCCGTCCGGCCAGCCGAATACGAAACAACATAAGGCCAAGTTGGCTGCCACTTAGTTGGCACTCCCAAGACATGGCGATGCCGTCCACGAGCACTGCAATGCAATGGCCCCCAAGCGAAGCTACGGCAACACCGTCCATGAGCAGATCAATATCCCTGACTTGCAGGGTCCGCAGCTGTCGAGACTCAAGGCCTAAACGGTCCTGTACGTAACCTTGGCGCAGCAGGGCCCTGGCTGCGCGTGCGGGTATTTGGAACACCGCACCCGGCTTCCATGTCAGATCATGTCAGCGCAAAGTGCGAGCGTCGTCGTTTATTGCTAGGAGCTAGACCACCTAGATATGGTTTCGAGGTGAGCAAAAGTGTGTGTGTGTGTGTATGTGCGCGCGATCTGTTTGTTTCGAGCCCCCAATGCCAAAGACACAGAAGGCTTGAGCAAGCCAAGACCTGCAGACAGCAACAAGCCCAGAGCAAAAGCAATCAGAACAGGTCAATCAGAAGAACTGCCCAAGACTGGCAACAGAGGCCTACAGGACAGGCACTACTGTAGTTTTGGTCCGATCAAGACATGCGACAACTGAGGTCCGATCGGGGACGAGACATGGTAGGCAACCCTACCGCAAGTGATTAACGAGTATAGCTTGGAACAGACTCGTGGAATCCTCCCTCTCACTACTTCTGTCAGTCGCTACTCCGCAGATATCTGGATTAAACTTACCCCGAGGTATAAAAATAGGTGTTCTCAACTTTGGCATCGGTTCAAAATTGCAGGTACGTCAAGCTGGTACATCGGACATCCTGAGATCTCACAGACAGCTTCGTTGGGCAGCGCTCTGCATGTCCCCTCTGCCCCCCTGCAGAATACGAAAACAACTGCCGGAAATTGCCCATAGCCTCAGGGGTTGAAACAGAAAGAGAGAGAGGGTTGCAACCATGTATGTACCCGCGTATATGTAATTTTGTATGTCTGTAAGTATGTACGTGTGCAGGTATTTCTTCGTGTATGCATGCATGCATGCAGGCAGGCATGAAGGTATGCAGGATTAGGCAGGTCGGTATGTAGAAACACATCCTAGCAGAATTGCTCTTCGACAAGATGAACCGGCTTCTACAATACTTTCAGCCATTGCGGCGATGGCTCCCCATGTGTCGTCTTGCTGTCTTCTGCTTCTCTCGCCAGACAATACAGGCTTCGGTCTTACTCTTCTTGGCGTGTCTTCTCGATTCATGTCCTTGAAGTTCTGTCAATACGCAATCGTTCTATGCAATAGCTGACTGAAGCTGCAGCATGTCAGGATCCAAATACTGAGTAACAACGTCTCCCAGCACTTGTGCTCAATGTCCACCCAAAGTTGCTTCAGTTTGGGACCTGGCAAGTGGGAACGACAAATGTAGCTGCGGCAAACAAGACTTCCCAAAATCCATGGCGGCGTTGCCTTCGAAAACGGTATCCACTCGGCTCTGCCAAAACAGGGAATTGAGTTTCATGCGACATCCTCCGCACCTTGTGCCTGCCTAGACCTTGATGTTGACTGCTCCAAAAAGCAAGGAAAGCTGACTCAGACAAACCGAGATTGAATGCAGGAGCCTCGTATGCAGGTTTCATGCTGGCCAGGAAAGTCCCAAACATCCACGACGCCATGGCCTGGCATGCTGAGCGAATCCTGTGGGGCTTTGCGTGCAGTCTGGCCCGTCATGTCCCATCACGGACGCACAACAGCGATGACCCACTTCTGTCCCTTGGCACTCCACCCGCTCCTTTGTGCAATCGTGACAAGCTTCCGATCTGTCGGAGGATTGGCTTGCGCCAAGAGCGCAAGGATGAGCTCAACAGTTTGGATGTGTCTGTCTTTCTGTGTGGTCTCGGTGTCCTCCTCGGACCCGTGGCTGGGTAACACGTGGAGCTTACACTTACATGTATCGAAGCCGAGGCTTGCATTACAAGTCTCTTGGGAGGCTGTAAGCCTTGGCATGCCTGACTCAGTCTTGGAGTCTAGAGAGCCGAATGGCAAAAGCGTATGCAACAGTTCTGCAAGATCTCGAGGTCACACGGCCCAGCCACGGGGAGACTGTGGCATGAGAGTATGGTCAGCCACGGCTCAGTATTGATGCTATGTACGGCATGTACGTTTCGTACAGTGATCCCAGGTTACATGCCGAGCCCCCGTCGAGAACCTAAACGTAGGTGATGTGATAGTTGTTGAAGCATCGGCACTCCCAGATTACATGCTGCTGAGCAATTGCTGTTCGGCAATGCCGAAATTCCCAAAGTCTTTGAGCTGACTTGTGGAAAACAGATTTGACCGACCCGCCAGGGTGGTGATGCATGGGCATGTCGATGCAATCATGCTGTTGGACCAGCGCATACCAGCACGCCGATGAGGTGAAAAACAGAAAATTGAAACAATGCTGTCAGTTTCGAAACCAGCATCCCTTTGTGACACAGTGCCTTCAAGATGCGGAGCACCTACTTGTTCGTGCTGTGTGGATGATGTCTGGTGAGCATACGCGTGCGTGCGTGTGCCTCCGAGCTTGCCTGTGTCCGTGCCTGCCTGCGGGCCTGCTGGCCTGCTGCATTTGAGTGGTCCAACGCAATCGCACTTGCGTGTGTGCTGTGTGTGTCTGTGTCTGTGTCTGTGTCTGTGTCTGTTGTCTGTCTGTGCATCCGTGTGCGTGCGTGCATGCGTGCATGCGTGCATGCGTGCATGCGTGCGTGCGTGCATGCGTGCGTGCGTGCGTGCGTGCGTGGGTGGATGGGTGGGTGGGTGTGTGTGTGTGTGTGTGTGTGTGTGTGTTTGTGTGTGTGGGACTCTGTTACTAAGAGTCAACAATGATTTCGCCATGTTTTCCGCTCAAGTGTTTCAAGATATTTCGGAGCAGGGGGCTGAGGGCCCATCACCGGTACCTCAGCCAACGAAGACTACCAGTGACAGGGCGTGGAAACGTACCTGCGAAGACAAGAAAGTGGAGGGTGCACCTGGGTCGACGGTCATCGTGACAGCTGGTGGCCCTCATGAGGAATTCCTGGGTCCGTCGTGGCAGCTGGAATCCTCGCTCCTTACAAGTACAAAACATGTACTTGAAAAGGCAACCCCCTGTGGTGCCAAGATTAGAAAACAGGACAGGCCCCATGTGGTGTCCAGATTAGACTGATGAGCCTTGAGTCCTGATTGGTTCCGGAACCCCGAAAGCTTACTGCTTTCACGATTACATCAAGCATGGCTTGATAAACAATAGATGAATGGCTGCACGATGGATTCTCACGTGTGTACCAGGTAGTTGCAAGCTGGTCTTGTATTCGTTTACCGTGCTACCTGCGGCGGGGTCAGCGCGTGCAAGTACCTGCCAGGTTTGAAACGATAAAGGCAGGGATGAATTGATTGGTTCCCGAAGTGGAACCGCCACCTCCGATCCGTTTTCCTCTGTTGCGATGTTTTCCTCGCTGCTGACTTGATGTCAGCTTTTGATTGCCAGGTTTCATTGCAGGTCTGACCTTTTCCAGATCCGATGGAACCACCGGCTTTACAGTCCGCAGCCCACGATTTCAGCTCCGAGACAAAATCCCATTAGTCGGCCTCTGTGCCAAGATTAGCTAGCCGCCCCTGTGCGAAGGATCAGGTATCTATTTTCTGCATGCTAACGACAGGGGGCCAGGACCCAAGCCTCAACATGACGACAGCAGGAGGCCAGGACCCAAGAATCACAACCGCAGACTTGCAGAGAACGCGAAGCGCAGAACTGCAAGTTGTAAATAAAACAAAAGCAGGAAAGGCTCATCTTGACGACAACCAGAGGCCAGGACCCAGGAGGTCAGGACCCAAGCCTCACAGACGACGACAGGAGGCCAGGACCCAAGCCTCACAGACCTCACCGACGACAAGAGGCCAGGCCTCATAGACGACGACAAGAGGCCAGGACCGAAGCCTCACAGACGAAGACCTGCAGTGAGTGCGAAGCGCAGAACTGCAAGCTGTAATCCGGAAAAAAGGGCAGAAGGCCAAGACCCAAGGCTCACCGAAAACAGGAAGCCAGGTTTCAGGCTTCAACTTGAAGACAATAAGAAGCCAGGACCCAAGCCTCACAGACGACGACAGGGTCCAGGACCCAAGCCTCAATACAGACGACAGGAGGCCGGGACCCAAGCCTCAGACAGTAGGAGGCCAGGACCCAAGCCTCATCGCCCAAGTGGCTTTCTGTGTGCGTGGGACTCTGTTACTAAGAGTCAACAATGATTTCGCCAAGTTTTCCGCTCCAATGTTTCGAAATTTTTCGGAGCGGGGGCTGAGGGCCCGTCACCGGTACCTCAGCCAACGAAGACTACCAGTGACAGGGCGTGGAAACGTACCTGCGAAGACAAGAAAGGGGAGGGTGCACCTGGGTCGACGGTCATCGTGACAGCTGGTGGCCCTCATGAGGAATTCCTGGGTCCGTCGTGGCAGCTGGAATCCTCGCCCCTTACAAGTACGAAACATGTACTTGAAAAGGCAACCTCCTCTGGTGCCAAGATTAGAAAACAGGACAAGGCCCCTGTGGTCCTGATTGGTTCCGGAACCCCGAAAGCTTAATGCTTTCACGATTACATCAAGCATGGCTTGATAAACAACAGATGAGTGGGCGCGCGATGGATTCTCAAGTGTGTCTGTGTGTGTGTGTGTGTGTGTGTGTCCGCCCGTGTTCCCAAGGGTTCCGCGCAGTCGCTGAGTAATCTAGCGGCTTGGGTTCTGGAGAAAATTTCCGAAGGAGTCTCCACTGCCGAGGCCTATACCCCTTCCGGGAAAGGCCGAAAACCCAAACGCATGTCATACCACACATGGGTCGCGTGGCGACAGCTGGTGGGTGTATCATCGCTTGAAAGTTGTGTGCATTGCTTTGCATCACCGGTTGCTCGCACTGGCATCTCAAACACTGGTCGCATCTTGGTCATATTTCATTGCCTACTGGCTCCGTGCTCCCTTCGAACGCAGTGATGAGAATCGGTTGATGTTCAATGCTTTCAGCTCTGACCTGATCGAGTCATCAAGTGTGATCGGGTTGTCTTTCTGGCAAAGCGACAACTGTGACTAGGATCATGCATACTTTGGATGTATGGCCCAGCGAGCCCGTCGTTCCTTGAAGTTCATTCCGGGATGGGGTCGTCGAAACCTAGTAAACAATTTCGTTCAAGCTAGGACACATATGGAGACAATGTCAGTCTCGCCAATTGTATGTAAGATTTGCTGTGCCCGTGTCCTTACCACTGCACCGTTCTTGCCGCCCTGATGTAATCGAGATCTTCGAGACGCAATGCCAAGAGTAATAGCTCAGGCTCTACGTGCTGCGTGGCTAGGCTCAAGGTCATGCTCGGCTAGGCTCCAGGTGATGCATGCCACAGTGCTGTTGTGGTAGGTTTTTTGTTGAAGCAAAGGCTGCTTGGGTAGGCTCTAGGTGTTCCTTGGCTTGCACCTCGCTCGCGCAAGCTCCTTGGTCAGGCTCAAGGTGACTCGTGGCTAAGTCCTAAGTGATGCTTGGCTAAGTTTTGGGTGATTCTTAACTGGACGGTAGTTGAGCATCATCTTGAAGTATGCCTACCCCAAAATATTCGGAGCAACAGCTGACGATTTGTACGAGTTCTTCACCCGAATCAAACTCCGCTATACACCGCGGCACATGCTCGTGATGTTCATGCCAAATGTGTCGCTAAGAACATGCGCTTGCGTGCCTGCTTGGCATCGTGTGTGTGTGTGTGTGTGTGTCCGCCCTTGTTCCCAAGGGTTCTGCGCAGTCGCTGTGTAATCTAGCGGCTTGGGTTCTGGAGAAAATTTCCGAAGGAGTCTCCACTGCCGAGGCCTATACCCCTTCCGGGAAAGGCTCGAAAACCCAAGCGCATGTGATACCGCACGTGGGTCGCGTGGCGACAGCTGGTGGGTGTATCATCGCTTGAAAGTTGTGTGCATTGCTCTGCATCACCGGTTGCTCGCACTGGCATCTTAAACACTGGTCGCATCTTGGTCATATTTCAGTGCCTACTGGCTCCGTGCTCCCTACGAGGGCAGTGATGAGAATCGGTCGATGTTCAATGTTGTAAGTTGTAAGCTCTGACCTGATTCTGTTATCAAGTGTGTGACTGTGTGTGCTTGTTTGTTTGTTTATGTTTGTCTGCTAGACAAGTTGGAAAGTACCGACGGCCTTGTTTCCGCATGCGTGAGGACTGCATGCTGCCGTGTGATGGCGTTGAGCGCACGCTCCCTGAAGATCATCGGGTATGGCTTCGCGTAAAGCACTGTTGCTCACTGATCCAGGGTCAGACTGCAAACGGTTTTCATGCAACGCGCTGCTAGCCGTAGGAGGTTCGACATTTCCGAGGCTTCAGCTCACAGTTGTTTAGAAGACGTTGTCATTGTTTCACGTTGAGTGATGGGTTCCACACAATGCTGGGGCACATTCACGGCAGACATCTGCACAAAGCGTCAAAATCAAAATGTTTGCTTTTGTGAGTATGTGAGTATGTGTGTGTGTGTGTGTGCGTGTGTGTGTGTGTGTGCGGTTGTGTTCCTGTGTGTGTGTGTGTGCATGTACTTGCGTACCTGCGTGCGTGCGTGGGTGGGTGGGTGGGTTTGCATGTGCGTGCGCGCACGTGCGTGTGTGCGTGCGTGCGTGTGTGCGTGTGTGCGCGCGCGTGCGTGTGCGTGCACGTGCGCGCGCGCGTGTGAGTCCGCGTGCGCGTGCGGTGAGTGTGCGTGCGTGCGCGTGCGCGCTCGTGCGTGCGTGCTCGTGCGTGCGTGCGTGCTCGTGCGCGTGCGTGCTCGTGCGCGTGCGTGCTCGTGCGCGTACGTGCTCGTGCGCGTGCGTGCTCGTGCGCGTGCATGCTCGTGCGTATGCGTGCTCGTGGGTGTGCGTGCTCGTGCACGTGCGTGCTCGTGCACGTGCGTGCTCGTAAGCGTGCGTGCTCGTGCATGTGCGTGTGCGTGCTCGTGCGTGTGCGTGCTCGTGCGCGTGCGTGCTCGTGCGTGCGCGTGCTCGTGCTCGTGCGTGCTCATGCGTATGCGTGCTCGTGCGTGCTCGTGCGTGCGCGTGCGCGTGCTCGTGCGTGGGCGTGCTCGTGCGTGGGCGTGTTCGTGCGTGGGCGTGCTCGTGCGTGCGCGTGCTCGTGCGTGCGCGTACTCGTTGCGTGCGCGGGCTCGTGCGTGCGTGTGCTCGTGCATGCGTGTGCTCGTGTGTGCTTGCCCGTGCGTGCTTGCTCGTGCGTGCTCTTTCCTGCGTGCGCGTGCGTACGCGTGCGTGGGTGTGCGTGCGCGTGCGTGCGCGTGCGTGGGTGTGCGTGCGTGCGCGTGGGTGGGCGTGCGTGCGTGTGGGTGTGTTCGTGAGTGTGCATGTGTGGGTATGTCTCTGTGTGTGCGTGTGTGCGTTTTTCTCCGCATGTGTCTCTGTGTGCGTGTGCGTGTGCGGGTGCCGGTGCGGGTGCGGGTGCGCGTGCGCAGGTGTGTGTGTGTGTGTGTGTGTCTGTGTGTTTGTTTGTGTGTGTGTTTGTGTGTGTTTTTTGTGTGTGTGTACACCCTGATTCTAAGCTAAGGGTTTCTGGAACAATACAGGATTTGTGGCAGGGGGACCGTCTGGTCTGTAACAGTGACGGTCCAACGAAGAGGCTGTTACAGATCAATGATATGAGCTGGGGACGCCTAGCTCACGTACCTGCCGTTTCGATCAATTCGGAGTGACAATCATCGCTGTACATTGTTGCCATCGTGTATAGGAGCAGTGAGATTCAACATGTTTGCTTTAGTCGCGTCTGATCCTGCCAGTTCTTGCCACAGGTTGACGGTCTTTAAGGATTATGGACGGTCTCGAAGATCTACCTCGTATTTAGAAATGGAATCGAGTGGAATTGTCCTGATGGACTCCTTATCTCCGTGTGTGGCCTTGTCGCCAACGGCAACAACCGCTCCTGCGGACTGCCAGGGTACGTTTTGCGGCCCATGATGGTACCATAACAGGCCGTACTCCTTCGGGACAGGTCAATAGTGCAAAGGCATTGTAAAGAGTGGCCCTTTCTTGTCAGGTGATGGGTCTAAGTGCTCCTAGCGAGCAATCGGAACAATGGTGCCCCGATTGGTCAGGCGATGGGCTTACGTGGCCTAAATGGTCCTATAGTGGCTCTAGTAGCCTTTGAGTGACGATGTAAAGACATCGAAAAAGTGGTCCTGGCAGCATCTTGGCTTGTTTTGCGGTTTGTACCTACTTTTCGCGCTGCAGAGAGAAGGAGCCGTGAGTACTGCCCTCAGGGACTCAGGACCGCTTGTCTTCTCAGTCTGTCAGCCGAGCTATCGTCATCTTTTTTCTCGCTCTCTCTCCCCTCTTTCCTCTTTCTGGTCGTCTGTCAGCCGAGCTATCGTCTTCTTTTCTCGCCTTCTCTCCTTTTCTCTCCGACGACGACGATGACGACGATGACCATACTAGGAAAAAGCGAGCCTCAGGACGCTTATCCCCTCTGTGGAGGGGTGTGTGTGTGTACACCCTGATTCTAAGCTAAGGGTTTCTGGAACAATACAGGATTTGTGGCAGGGGGACCGTCTGGTCTGTAACAGTGACGGTCCAACGAAGAGGCTGTTACAGATCACTGATATGAGCTGGGGACGCGTAGCTCACGTACCTGCCGTTTCGATCAATTCGGAGTGACAATCATCGCTGTACATTGTTGCCATCGTGTATCGGAGCAGTGAGATTCAACATGTTTGCTTTAGTCGCGTCTGATCCTGCCAGTTCTTGCCACAGGTTGACGGTCTTTAAGGATTATGGACGGTCTCGAAGATCTACCTTTTATTTAGAAATGGAATCGAGTGGAATTGTCCTGATGGACTCCGTATCTCCGTGTGTGTTTGTGTGTGTGTGTGTGTGTGTCTGTGTGTCTGTCTGTCTGCCTGGCTGGCTGGCTGGCTGGCTGTCTGTCTGTCTGTGTGCGTGTGTGGGGGGGGGGCTATCCTCGCTCGCTCGCACTTTTTTGGATTGCTCCAGATATGCAGCTCCAGGAGACGGCTCATTCTGAAACGGGGGCCACTTGCGCTGCTTCATGCGCTGAGCCCTCGCAGGCACTGGCAGTCAGCCAACACTCGGGATGTCGTGGTAGTTGTGGAAGATGCGCCTGGAGACTTGCAAGGTTGAGTGCCAGCCCGGCTGCAGAAAATGCAAACATGGCAGTCGCGCTCTCCCAGTTTGCCGCCCGTGACTTCTTTCAATTTTGCCTGCCATCATCTTAATGATTGCAGAAACGTACACCATGTTGAAACATGACTTCCACCTCAAATTGCTTGTATGCCTCGCTGGATGCTAGGATGTCCTCTGCAGAGCTGCTGCATCAAAACATTTGCTCTTTGCGTCGAAGCAGGGACTGTTTGCAATGGCACACATGCATTTTGCAGCACAACAGCGGAGAGACACGCCCATCCCCCGCAGATCAAGCTAGCAGGCAAGCTCGCAAAGCCAGTGTCCCGCCCCGAAGAGCTCTCCTCACCGGCATAGGGGTCGCTGCCCAATTTTTCGCTATCAGGCCTGCATGATTCACAGACATTCCATGATGAAGTGCTAGAGAGGTTTCGCGCTCATGTAGCCCGAAGAGGTCTGATACTGTAGCATAACATTCGTTGCTTTGTGCGATCTGTCTTTGTCCGGCGGCAGCGTCCATGCAAAGCTCCAGCTGAAGCTGTCCAGATGCCCCAATACTGTAAACTGTAACAGATTTAGATGCTTCAAATGCTAGCTATCATTGGACGAAACCCAGAACTTCAGAGGCGTTCCAACACTTCGAACAGTTTAAAGGCCCGAAGATGCCCGAAGTCCGTAGCTGCCAGCTGAGCATGAACCTACCCATCGAGCATGCTACTCAGCTTCACGATCAACCCAGATCCGGATGATGCCCACTCATGTGCGAAGTGCGTCTATGCATCTACGGATAGATAGACATGTACATATATCTATATGATGTATACAAGTTGTGCATACCTATAGTCTATATGCATATACATATATATATATATATATATATACATGCTTGATACACTTATATGAAATTACATGTTCGCATCTCTCTCTCTCTCTCTCTCGAATCAATCTTGAAACCTTTAGCGTCCTGTGTACTCAAATCGAGGTCATGCTGTACAACTTCCGGGAAGATCCACATCTTACCCATGAAGACCTGGAGTCCGTCTCGCACTCTCCGAAGCCATGCAGTAACCCTCCGCATTTCGTGTAGCTGCGTCGCTCTTTCACTTGTCCGCACGGTCACCAACAAGGAAGGCGGAATCTAAGCTGCCTTAAAATTCTGAGTCATACAACCTCAATCTACTTGTTAAGCGAAACCCCTCGTTGACAGCCCTGAAAGCGCTAAGCAAGCTAAGTACGCAGATTGCGACGTATAATATACCCCTACTTCTGAACCCTGGAAGGTGTCAAGAGGGAAGCCAGCGAACCAGGAGAGAAACCACCAACCGAAAAGTGGACAGGACTACACACACACACACACACACACATGAATACGCAAAAGGCGACGGGCGGAAACTCAAACAACATGCAGACATTGGGCCACTAGCGAAAAACATTACGGGAAAGGCGGGGGCAGAACAAAGAACAAAACGGCAAATGATCCGAAACCACCAAATATCACCAAATTCAATTTTGCATTGCAAATATGTGAGAGTGTTGATACGTGCTGTTGCATCTGTGGAAGAATGTTGAAGTAGTGTATGATAGTGTATGGAACACCAGGGTCTCGCCTCCACTTGGCAGCATGATGTAAGTGATCATGGTTATTACTGCAGACCAGGTTGTGCCACTGTGCGGACCTCTGGAATACCAATTGCTCATGCTGACAGCTTTGTAGTCACACATGCGGCAGCCTCAACCACATGCGCGTTAGCTTCCCACCCTTCTCCTCGTACAGGACCTTGTGTCGAGAGTCTGCCAAGGCATGGAGGTTGGCACTATCGGGCGAAGTTGCTGCAAGACTACCGAACTCAGCAGATAAGCATGGTTTGTGACTCTCTACCTGCTTGCTCTTGCCTTCCCATACATGAACACCAGGTACACAAAGCACTTCGACATGCCCGCAGAGTTTGCGGCTTCCTATCCAAGAATGCAGCGGGCTGGCAATGAAAACGACTCTTTCCAGAAGTAGCAAACGTATTACTATGCATGCGTGAACGTTGTGAACACGAACCTTTCGAAAGGAAACCTGGACTTGGGCAGAAGTTGGCATGTTCCGGTCTTTAAGCGCGAGCAGCAGAGTGGTATGTGCTGCATGGCTAATTGGGTGAATGTTGCTGTGTTAGTTGAAGATGCGCATGCACATGCCACCATACAGGTTCAGCTTGGTGGAGTATTTGGCGGCTCCAGTTCTCGAATTATGGACTCGAATGAATGTGCGATGTTCTGCAAGTTTGTGGTCAATGCCGGAACGCCATGTCAGAATTGCATCTGCAATGAATGCTCCCCTCACAGTTGACAGCAGCAACAGCGAGACCTCGCTGAGGTCAATGCAATCAAGTGTTCTGTTCGTGGCTCACGTACACCCAGCTTGCCATCCTAAATGTGGCACCGCGAAATACCGCGAAGTAAGAACAACAATGCATCAGTCGTATCGCATGCTCAACACCTCTCAATCACTGAGCTGCAAGCAGGGGGTGTGCCAGGCATGGCCGTTACCAGGCTCTCATGCATCTCGTAGTCAACGCAATACGTTGGACCTGTGATGGAAAGCTGAGATACGCCTAGATCATGCGACTGCAGGCATCGTAGAGTACCTGATGAATCGAAGTAGAACCGCTTCAAGCAGGACCTCGGAAGTTTGTGCCAGGTGATGCTGCACACGTGTCATACTGCTTTGCCGCTGCCTCACTTAGCATGTTCGATGATACAACAAGTCCTGTGGACATGATGTCCCCAAGGCTGAAGGAGCCGTGAAAATCCCTCATGCCAGATGCGCACCCAATGTTTTCGGTACAAGGTGGCAGTCAGCAGCGCGTTAGCAGGACCCCGCGACTCAAACCTCTGTCCCGAAACAAGACTGCAACCCTCTGCTTCTTTGATAAGACTCTTGAGTCTTGAGTTGATTGTGTGCCGGCAAGTGTGCTGGCTTGCTTTCTTCTCTGCGGCCCCTTCGTCGAGCGGCCCAACAGTTACTCAGTTGCTCAATGACTTTCGATCTCCGCCTAGGTTCCACTGACACACGGCCGCACACTGCATGCATGCTCTGTCTCACTTGCTACCACCGCTGTGGCAAGACTCCCGGCTGGCAGTACAGTACTACGTACACACACACTCTCTCTCTCTCTCTCTCCCTCTCCCTCTCGCTTTCTCTCTCTCTCTCTCTCTCTCTCTCTTGCTTGCTTGCGAAGGGGTGTGGGTGCGAGGACCCCGGCCCGAAGGCCAACCCCCCCACGGCTCGCAACAGTCCAGAGTCTGTCAGGCCCCTTCCGGCGATGAGAGATTGGCTCGTTCCCCCACCTGTGCTTGTGTACCCCTCCCCCGAAAACACCCCCTTCTAAGACCATTACCATTGCAAACCTGTAAGCACCAGGTGGGTCATCCGAGGGCTCTCCGGATACAGCTACGCGAAAGCGGCCTGTTGCCGGGACAGTTTACTTCAACAGCTTTGTCACCCAGAGCGTACCATATAACGCGCTAGGCTAGCATCACTCGTCCCTTCTTTCGCTGCTCCGGGGAGCTCCACTCCCCTCCCTCTCTCTCTCTCTCTCTCCCTCTCTCTCTCTCTCTCTCTCTCTCTCTCTCTCTCTATCTCTCTCTCTCTCTCTGTCTCTCTCTCTCTCTCCCTCTCTCTCTCTCTCTTCGCTTCGCAGGGGTAGGGTCTGCAAACAGACCCGGGCCAAGGCCCCCCCTTCCCCGATATGCCAGTGGCAGAGGCTGTGGGGTCATCGGTGGACGGGTTTGTGTCCTTTGGTAGGTGCAGCTGGCAGAGTGCGTCTGTCGGTAAATCCCCCCCAACCCTGAACTTTGTTTCGCGTGTCCCGGCCTCATCGCCGCGCCCTCCATGGCATATCCTAAGTCCCTCGACAGGCGCACTTCCCCCAGTAGAAACAAAGGCTTGTAACTAAGCCCCCACCATAAGCAAAACAACAACTGAGGACGATGCAGTGCAGGATCACAAGATCTGTATGATGCAAGTGGAGGTTTGGTTCGTCTCTCTCTCTCTCTCTCTCTTTCTCTCTCTCTCTCTCTCTCTCCAAGGATCATCGGCCCCTGTGCTAGCCGAGGCAGGAGGTTCAAGTGGCTAGACACGTTCAGCGCATGGGTACTAGCCCCCAATCTGCTTGGGACAATCCGTGCTTCGCTCAAGGGCATCATGCTTTTCATGCCGCGCGAGCCGAGCGAGTGGTAAACGACAGCAGCATGTCCGTCGCGATGTCCATGTAATGCGGCCCTTGCGAGTATCCTGACCGCCGGTATCTGATTCTATCGAGACATGGAGGTTGGATTCTTGCTGCTTCCATCTTACTGCACTGCGTGGCCCCAAATCAGCACCGATGCTCGCGCCTCTTTTCGAGCTTGCTCGACATGCGTCGGCTGGAAATGTGGTTGGTGGTGATTGGTGGTCGGTTCATGAGGCGGTGCGACACACGTGCGCCAAGCACACCATTGTTGCATTTCTGTGGTCCGCGTTGGATGTTCGTTCCCACTGCTCCTAGACTGCGGATTGTGAGAATGATCTTTCCTGAGACGGACTGTGCTTGGGAAATAAATTGTGTGTGCGTGTGTGTGTGTGTGTGTGTGTTTGTAGTGTGTGTGTGTGTATGTATGTATGTATGTATGTATGTATGTATGTATGTATGTATGTATGTATGTATGTGTGTGTGTGTGTGTCTCCCTTACCTCCTTGCTTGCGGGGGCGCGGGCACACAACGCGTTTTCTAAGTCCCGAAGTCCCAAGCACGTGTTCTACATTTTCGGGATTGGAACAAACTCTTGAATGATCTCTGTGTCCGGGAGGGTATTCCACTTCGCAACCTCATTCATGCTCCAGTCGCATTGACCATGCGTGTGTCGTTATTGCTTACAGTTGCAGCCATTGACATGCACACCTCAGGCCGACGCCCCTGAAGCTTCGAGCCGGACCTCACATTTAACATCTCTTACAGCCTTCTAACAACTGCACTCACCTGTCGCTGGTGAAAAGGAACCAAGCCACCAGCTCCCTGAAGACACAAGTGTACCTCTTGATGAAGAGGTTGCGATCCTACAGGGGGAGTAACCAGTGCGGGGATTGCGATTGCATGCAGCTGTCCTTGATGATCGTCTGTCCCGATTTGAGGTCAAGGATCTGCACCTGCCGTGAGATTTCAACACCAAAAAGCGAAACTGACAACTCACGTGAGCAAGCAATTCAAGCTTCTGAGAAGAACTGCCTTGTCATCAAACTGGACCATGAACCGCATCAGTTTCTTCTCCCTGGACTTCGCGGCCGGCATGTGTTTGTCATTGCGATAATTGGACTTCTAGCAGATACAAAGCAGGAGCGCACCATCCGTGTAGCCTATGATTATTGCGAAAGGTACAGCCGGCAACTGCATCAGCCTTTCAGCTCCTTTGCCGTTGGCACCAGACAGGGCCCGACTGCAGACACCCAAAGATTAATTGATGCATTTAATCGGGACTTCCTGGCATTGCGGCGTATGCATACGCTGTCTGCGAAGCTGGCAAGCTGCAAGGATTGTGGCAAAGCAATACAACACGATCGTTGACATGCGCATCATGTTTTCGGTATTGCCAAGCTCTGACTTCACAAGATCTTTCGGGAGTCCTCTGAAATCTGCCCCGGTCGGATTGCTCCGGATCTCGCAAAAATCTATTCAGTCTATTCCAAACTTGGGGTTTCGCCCCCATCTGCGCATTGGATTTGTCCTGACCAGACTTCGTTGAAGCACCTTCTGAGGTTTTGTTCCAATGAGATGACTCATGGCATTGGCGCGCTTTGCAAACAAAACGCCGCAAACAGCGCCAACAAAGCAATCGCAAAGTGCCTGTGCCGAGAACCCACAACCTGCCACAACGCACTGTTAAGCACATACCTGCAGATCTCTAACAAGTGTGTTTGCCTGTCCCACGCGTGCGCTTTACGCTCAAGTCGGTGAACAGAATGCAAACTTTCATGGAATGAGGTGAGAAACAGCACATCACCTCAGAGTCTGATGTTGTCTCATGATCAGGCCCAGAGGTGCTAGAAAAAATAAACGAGCACACGGCTGCGAGCGTGGCTGTCGGATGCAACTGCCAACCGGCTGCAGTGGAATGCACAAGCTTCTAGATGCATGCAGTCAACACGTAGGTAGACCTAGGGCGTGCACACCATTGGCAGCCGCTTCTCCGGTGGAATGTTGTTGGGGATAGGCTGGCAGGCAGCTTCAGCTCAAGAAGCGAATCTCACCTGTCGACCAAGTAGTAGCCCTAGCATGGAGCTGCGGCCTCGTTGTAAGCCTCCATCTGGGCGTTGACGAGAAGAACCGCATTGGTGTCTGATGCTGCGACAGGTTCCTGGATGCAGCGAGGTCTTATGCTCTCTGTTCCGGCGACCAGCTCGGCGGGCGTGCATTGTGGTGGCAAGTTTTTTTATCTGCTGCACTCAGTGTCTGCAAAGTGCCTCCCGCGCGGATCGCTTATCCTCCTGCGCAGGGAACTGGTTGACGTAGAATTCATGTCTAAGCTGTCACAGCGCGCGAAGATACACCATAGTATAGCACACCTCTGTAAATTTGCATACCTTCCTTTCGAAACACAGCTCTTGGAAACACAATCGCAACATCCAGTCCTCTGTCGCCCGGGCAGCTCTGTTACCGTCATCCTTCTGCTTGTCCGGCTTGTTGCGGGCCCCTATCTGTCTGCATGCTGTCAGCAGTGATGAGCATGCACGTCGGATTCTAGCCCTGCCCAGAAAAAAGCAACTTCGCTTGATGGATAAAAACATGCCGGAAGTGCCATTTCCACCTGTTTGCTACATCACAACTCTGGCGTCCATGCAAAGTCCAAGTGACAATCGCTGGCTGACGCAAGGCTCGAGCCCCGGGCCCTGGGCCTTGACGCAAAGCCTCCACAAGCTTCTTTCGCAGCTCGCGGTTCTCTGCCTTGTGAGATTTGGGGACGTCCCTGGCTCCGCTGCAGTCCATCGGGCCCCGCCTTCAATGTCGCATTTTCCACCTGCGCTTCCATGCTGAGAGAGTCATAGAGAGTCTCTGCTGGTGTTTAGAATCACCCCATGCCTCAAGCAGCTGCAACCTTGACTCTGGAGATAGATCCGTGTCCTCGGGTGAACTCAGCTTTCCTAAGCTGAAGACGAGATCCCGGCAGGCTGCCTCATCATCGTTCCTTATCACTTCTCACCATCAGAGCACAGCCCAAGATGTTAAAACTGTCCAAGAACGAAACCGGCGTCTGCTTCGACTCCTGGATTTGCGTCGCTCCTTTCCCATGGCAGTGTGTTTTGCACGTACCTTGACGACTTTGTGCGGACATTTTCCGATGCTACTGCTGTAAAACACATCGCACAGCAGACGACATGAAATCCTCAATGATCCTCACTTCGGGCTTGCGGATGCTTGTGGCTTGAGAGTCTTGTGAGGTTTTGCGTCGGCTCCAAGGCTGAAGCGTGTCATGCGCCGGAGAACCCTTGACTACTCCAGCCCAGCCACTAGCGAATACAGCACGACAAGAAAGAGCACACCATAGCACACCGCGCCCATGGCAGACCATGCTCGGATGTTTGCAGGCAAGATGTTCGCAGGCTGTGGGCTGCAGACGCCAACACTTTTTGGACCCGGTGTTGGTTGCGGCCATCTCGCGTCGGAATCCACCTCGAAGCACATCGTCTACTTGCAAAGCGATTTGCAACCAATGAGCAGAGCCCTTCAGCTAATGAGCTTGTAGCAAATCGGACCACATCTGACTGTGCACCTACATTGTTCACTAACCTGTCCCACTTGTGCGACCAGTGCATTTTAAGTGGTGGGAGCACGTACGAAGACGCTAGTCTTGCACTTCCTAAATTTTTTCGTAAACAGCAAGCTTTGAGAGGCTTGTTCTGACTGGTGGCACAGCGGAAGCCAGCCGAGCGGCTGAATTGGATGCCGAATTTCCTTGCAATACACTTCAGCTTCTCACTGCCGAATCACGGGCCGAATGCCTGCGAAAACTCAGAGGAAGCCTCGCATGTCTTGAGTGCACTGCCCGCGCAGCCCGCCGCCTGCTAGGATGGCGGTACTTGCTGAACCGCTGGTGGCGAATGAGAGTGACGCCTGAGCAGCAGTACTTTCAATTGTGATTACGAGTGAACGCCTGCAAAGGTGGCCGGCCGTTGCCAGCACTGAGGCACCGGGATGGCAGGACAACTTTGGGCAGCACTGGTTGCTCCCTCCTTGCTGCGGCTGCCGCCCCTGCAAACTTCCAGTTCCAGCCGTAACTTGCTTGGACATGCTGACGGTACTTTGCGCAGATTATGTCAACCGATGCTAGCAACGAACCCTGTTGCGGGAGATCAGGTGACTTGTTGTGACAATCTGCATGGCCAGGACCTTCTTGTCAGAAGAGCTTCCCCCACGGTGTCGGCGAATGAAGACCTCGCACTTCCAGGTCACAAAGCTGAGCCCGGCTTCGTGGTCTGGTTGACTTTTTGAGTCTACATGGACTACTATACAGCGTCATTGTGATGCTTCTGACTGGCATATGTGAAAAAACGCGATGTCAAGATTACAATGTTGCTTGGGCGCCATAGCAGGACACAGGACATGGGGTGAGTCATGTGGTCGTGCTGAGATGGCAGCCCCTCTGCGTACTTCCGCATTGTCAAACCTGGAAAAACCATGATGGTAGAAGTATTGCACAAGTTCTTGACAACCCACTTAACTGCATGAACAAGCTCAGATGGCAACTCTCCAGCAGGAAGTTCTGCTAAAAGCTCCTGCCGTTCAGATGAGACGAAATGGTGTTCTGGTTCCATTCCGTGATCAGCTCAATTCCTCACCACAATAGCAGAATTCATGGTTCATGCCAGGTGATTTTGCGCCGTCGCAGAATCACGAACCTGATCGTGCAATCATTAGCAACTATGCTTGGACCATCCTTTGTACATGAGCGCTGCTACTTACATGCGCCGTATCATCTCCGAAAAATGAAACAAGAATCTCCCGCGTCAAGTCTTGGTGGGATCGTTGTTTGTACATGCATCAAGGAGGATGCGACATTACCAGGATTTGTCAATGAGTCGGATAAGCTATGGACCGGAGAGAGCAGTCACTTGTGTTGGATGGATATATTCGCCTTAGTGCAGCAGTATCTCGCAATCAAGGGTGCAAGGGTTTCCAGGGAAATACACACACTGCATGGACTTGATGAATCTAGGCTCCAGGCGGCCTGAATACTTCATTTGGGACGGACGGTGCCGTATGGTGCCATTCGGGTTCATGTCAAAAACAACGTACCGCTCTACAGCATTTCTGTAACGAAGACTTTGGCCCTCCTATGCAACGCACAAAGCCAAAAGCACTGCGCCCTCTATGCCCGAGTCAGCCGCCAAAGAAGCATCAAGCTAATGCCGACGAAAATGAGAAAACCGCAGCATGAATAAAGGCAACACATGCCCATCCTATTCCTCGAGCACATGGTCGAACACCAGGACAAGGAAACAAACCGAGCTCGACGACGAAACAACAGCAAAAGAAACAAAGGGACCGAAGGCATCGCCGATGATGCAAAGACTGCGTGCTCAATTGATTTGAGAGGCTTGCAGATCCGATCGGACGGGCTTCTATGGAAACACAAACGGACCAAACTCTTCGAAGGCCAGGCTGTCCTGCAAACCTGAGGATAATTCGTAGGGATGCGCTTTGTTCGCACATAAGCTTTAGCAACATGTACTCATATGCAGCATTCGCAGCAGTCCGAATCCTAGACCTCCATGCGGCATGTGGGGGTAGGGCAGAACCAATTGTTCAACATAGAACGTGGTGAACTGCCTGGAACAACGGTGACTTGGACTGTCTTGCAGCGGCGGCTTCCGCGGGCAAACACCAATCACCGCATATGCTCCAGAACGGACGCGGATCCGGAGGTGACAAAACAATCATACGAAATCTGCTGGGGGCCTCCCGGCTCGCGACTCCCAAGGATTTACAGGAATGCCGATTGAACACGAGAAACGACCAGCCGCTGCAACATCGCATGCATCGGTTTAGCAATACATGCCGCTCAGATAAGATAAGGGATGATCTAAACAAACCATGCCAGCCTAGATCCCGAAACAGTGACGTACAATACAATCTCAATATGAATCACGTGAAAAAGGGTCTCAGCACCCGATAGCAGATGTCGCTATTTTCCAAGAACGTCCGCTAAGTCTCAAGAACAGTCTGGAGTTACGGAGCGAGAACTGCCTGCTGCTAGCTCTCCAGGTCCATGGTTACGGACTCTCGGGTTCTTTCTCGAGCAAAAAAGGCACTCAGGTGCCAGAGCAACGAATAGCACCTTCACAAGCTTCATTCGTACTTTGCAAATCTGAATTTCTGACAGAAGCTCCTTGCTGTGTCGATCTAACACAGTCGTCTCATCAAGGGGAAAGCTCGTCTTGCCATGAGCCCCATAAGGGTTGAAGACAAGATCGTGAGAGACAGGCTCGCATCATGCTGGATGGAAATCCCGCCGTGAGAGAACAGCTGGCCCAAGCCCAGCTCATTCCTGGGAATGGTACGGAGTGCAGCAACATATTCAAGTGCAGTGCAGAATGGCCAAGGCCAGAGATACGAAGATCTCTGCACAAACCAAGAGCACATGAACATCAGCAAACAAAGAGAAGCTGCAAAACCACCACCCAGAATCAGCAGGGTGTCACTGTGATCTGAAAGCTGCCAAGTACTTGATCTGTAGGGCATGAAACCGGCCCCAACAGCTCTCACTGTGGAATCTCCAGCATGGACTGCAAGTGTCTTGTGACAGCTGCCACTCGTTCCTTTTGGGTCCGGGGGCAGGCTAGGCCCTCGGACTGGAGCACGCAACCCCGGCTCCTCGAGTCGAGGCCAGCTACTGTCTGCAGTAAGCCTTCCCATTGCTCAGGGGCTTCTTCGCAGGAGTCGGGTGGCTAGTCTGCGCTGGAGGCCAGAAAGTTGGCAATCGAGGCCATTCTCTGGCACCTTGCCTATTGCACCAGCCGGGGAATCACACGAAGAGGCAAGTGAAGACTGCAGATGAGCTTCGAGTTTCGCTTGGAGGCCGAAGAAACAGTGAAGTACAATACAGCAAAGACGTCACGAGAGCCCCATGCAACCCGCACACGCGCACCTGAGTCCAACAGAGAGCCAAGGGATCGGAAATCGGGAGACCACCAAAGACCAGGGATAGAAACCATCCGAGACCACCTGGACATCACCAGGAGGAAACCACCGGCAAGCAACCAGCGTAGCCGCTGGTTGAAGTAGAATGCCGGAACAGGGCCTGAACGCTTCCCTCTAGCGGATTGAGAGAGTCATGATCCCAACGCTTCCCCCTGTGTACCGCCTCTGAACTCTTCCGGCCCAAATCCGTGCAGATGTCGTACAACGAAACACGAACTGAAGATGACTGAAGCATGATCAAAGTAACTAGCTAGTTCATGGTGGTTACATGCGCATGAAGAACTACGGACAAACAGAGACGGAGGGAGAGACATACACCATGACAGGAGGGACGTGTCGGCATTTTGCAATCGCACAGCGAATCTTGTGCGGTTGCCAAGTAGCCGAGCAGGCGAAGCTCTTCACGAGCCGCCGCCAGTTGAGTTGCTGCCTCGCGTGTCAATTGTAATCTCGCTTCAATGCATAGCAACATAGTTCCAGACTAACCTGCAACCAGGGCAGCTCTGAAGTGCCTTTGTCACCATTGTCAATGCATCACTTCCTGACACCCTGCCTGGATCCACTCTTCGCTTCCAGGAGGTGTGTTTTCACTGAGCACTTCAAGCTGTGCTACCTGACGGACGTGCTTCAAGCATGCTGCCTGCAGATTTCTCTTAACTCAGGGAGATCCACATGCGGAGAGCCTCAGCTTTTTTGTCAAGAGCCATCTGTAGCAGGTGCGCCCCAGAGTCCAAGGAGGCCCAAGAAGATGCTCGCGACACCTTTCACATTTGCACGCATTCGCATGCACGGTCAGCACCGTGGAATGTGGAAAACCCAGATAACGGCTCGCGCCTTGTCAAAACCATGCTTCATCGGCTTCACCTGGCCTCCGTCACCTGTAATGGGCTCATGTTCACGAATCAATACGCTAAGTGATGTCTGGGTTTACTGATGCTCATCGCTACAGCGAAAAGGTTTCTGTCAACCTGCTGCTTTCAATCCGTCATGGCAATAACAAAACAAATAGAGATCCGTTCTTGGTCAACTCCGGTACAAGGGTCCCTATACAATCTCTCGCCTGAGGTTTGGAGGACGGAGTCCGGAGATGCTTTCGTCAGCTCTGGTTCTGGAGCTCGCTCTGGTGCACCTTCGCTCGATCTGAGCGGCACCTCGACCTCCGTGCAGCGCTCGCTCAGCGCTGCCTCGCGAGCCTCTGCCGCCTGCAGCTTCTCGCGAAGATACTCGACTTCCCGCGTCAACTCGCCGACAGTCTCGGAAGGGCGTCTCTGCCCTTGTCGGCCGGAACGAGCCGGTGCGGATGACTGGCGGCGCTTCGAGCACTCGGGCGACGAGGCTCTTTGAATTTGGGAATCTGTGATCTCCCCTCCTGCGCCGCCTGCGACCGCGGCTTCGTGAGCTTGGCACAATGCCTCAACAAGCTTCCGCAGTTCCGACTTGTGCGACATCCCACGAGATCTTGGTGTCAAATCTGAGAGGTTAGCCGGTGCGACTCGGCATCTCTTGCACGTGCGCAGCACAATCTCCAGAAGTTCGGTCATCTCTTGACGCAAGCTCTTGCAGTCTACCCAGAGCTGTGTCACCAAGGGATCGTCAGATTCGAAGTGATCTCGGCTCAGGCTTGCTGTTGCTTGCCCTCCACCTGACTGGCTCAGTTGAGTCTTTGAGAGCTGCACAATGTCGAGTGGCTCGGCTCGTGTCCCCTGCTGTGCATCTGCGTCCCTGTCTGTGTTGGAAAAGCCTTCGCTGTTGCAGTTTTGCTCTTGGGCCTCCTCTATTTTCACAGACAGCTGCTCATGTTCCGTGGGGACAACCTGGGTCTCTGCATCCTCCGTGCCCATCTGCTCGCTGTCAGAGCCTTGCATTCCGTTGGATGCCTGGCTGACTGCAAGCTCATCTGGAATACGAGGTGCTTGACTCGATGGGTCACAAGGTTGCGGTCTTGCAGTCTCAGACTCTACCTGCTTATCACTTTCAACGGCAGTTCGCCCACCGTCTCCATGGCAGTAATCGTTTTCCGACGGACTCTCTGTTTCATTTGCAGTGCCGTCTCTGACTTTGCCTCCCTCGCCATAATGGCACGGCAGGCCCGCCATCAAAGCCACTGTTGGCGGTGTTGCAGAACGTCGCACGGTCGACGCGAGCACTTGGCGTACGTCTGAACCTGCCAGACATCTCTCGGACACTGCGTCGTCACTACCGTTTCACAGTACAGGCGAGGTGCAAAATATTAGCAAACCTGTCTGGACTCGAACTGAACATCCTGAGCCCCAAGGCCCCAAGAATGCCTCCCCCCGCTCGTCTGTCTTGTCGGGGACTTGCTGCCTCGACGGCCTTCAGGTTTTTCGAGAGAAAGCATTGAGCTTACATGATTATGCCAGTGTATGTACGTATATACATCTGTATCCATGTTGTATACACGACCATGCTTTGTGCTACATATGTATGTATGTATGTATGTATGTATATATATATATATATATGTAACATGTATATATGTACATATATCGGTACATATTCTGTATATATATATGTATATATACATATATATATATATATATGTGTGGGAAGAGTGTAACACGTCACGGGCCCCATAGTCTCCCGGTTTCCATGAACTTTCACTCACAAGCTTGCGCAACGCTGATGCCGAACATGGGAAGTCTTCCCACTCAATGTGGTGTCTGCCATGGATATGTTCCGACTAATCCGTCCCGTGTCAATCCTGTGGTTGTTCGTCATGTCCCACGGCATCTTACTGAAACTCTGAAGATCGGACTCCTACGGTCCTAAAATTTGTCGGCGAAGCCGTGCTTGTCTCGACCCTGAATGCACAGTCCAACACAAATAACGTGTTTGGCAACACATGGCTTTGACAACAAACTTCCGGCATATTCTGTAGCATTGATGAAATGAAAAGTTGAGCCTGGCAACATACACGCAAGCCACCCAAACAGCTCCCATCGCGAAAAACTACATGCAGGCCATCAGCTGAGTCGTGTTATTGGATCCATATATGTATATACACATGCGCTACCTCCAATTTCGTCACAATGTTTCGTACGAAGGATAGCTTGCTTGATGAAGGCTTACTCAAAGGCTTATCATCTCTTGCAGCCATTTATTTTCTCGCAGCTGGAGCCCTGCGTGCGGAGCTGTTTATTGCAACTATGTTGGCCACCCATCTTCTGTTTCTGAGACTGGGTGCTTTATATCCAATATCTCATGTTAGAACAATTAACAACGACGCCGCACCACTCCCTTCTGTCAAGGGTGTGGGGCTTTGGGGAACCAGTGTTCTTTAGCAGACTAGTCCTTTCATGACATAGCTTTTGCCAAGGTTTAAGGTCTTGGGCAGCCAGCCATCCCAGGTTTTGACGATGCACGAGTTAACCATGCCCTATTGAAGGTTATGGGCCTTGGGAACCGAGCGATGCCTTCCAGGGATTGGGGTTTGCCATCCATCCTTGCCTTGGGGTCTCATGCTGGGGTGTTTAGGACCAATCAGTCCTTTTGGGCTCGCGTCCTCGGCGTCACTGACACATATAAACCCAACATGATCTATTCAGTTTTCACTTTGGGGGGGGGAACTGTTTATTGTTATTGCTCCGCGTTTCGGGTCTATGAACAATATAATCACATCTTGCACCTGTTGTGTCATCTACAGTATGGTGTCTCGGATGCACACCACCACTCGCCCATGTTGATGCCGTCATTCCCTATTGAGTTATCATAGTTAGTGGGAAGCCAATCATCCCTGGTTTGGGGTTCTGCCAACAACATGCTCCCTTTTAATGACTGGCTCACACATGATCTAGTCTCGGAGTTTGGATTTCTTAAGGAAAGCAGCAATCCTTTGGTCTATCTTGATTACGGTCCTTATCCCCTAACCGTACATAAAAGGAGCAGCTATGCTCGAATTGTGCTGGCATGCATCCCGTCGTACTCCCGCTCTTGCTGTCTATATCGTCACATCTATGTCTCGCCCTCTATACATACATGCGAGTATGTATCTATATGTAGGCATATATATATATATACACATGTATACACATACTGGGGTATGTATATATGTACGGGCATGCATACATACACACATGTGCATACATATACATAATATATGTATATAACTATAACAATATGTAGCTAGATATATTTACATGCATGCATGCATGCATGCATGCATATCTAAACTTCTATACACACGACACGTAGTAGAAACATACATATGAGTACACATATACTCACATACATGAATTAGAAACCTTATGTTTTCGTATGATATACACATAGACATAATATGAAACCAGATGATATCGTATGTTGTCACACAAACTTATTATACATGAACATTTGTTTATGTCGGTGCGTGCAGGTATCATGACATCTACACCCCAAAAGCGACAGTATGGGCTGGTGTATCCATCGTGGTAGCTCGGTCCTGGACCTTACCAAAGCTCGGGCATCGCCTGTGAGAGGGAGGCTGTCGTAGGACAGCAGGTGCGTGGAGGAGTATGGTTGGGGGGGCAAAACAAAAAAGACTAAAAAACAAAAACACAAAAGAAATTCCCGTGATTGAATTCGTTTTGTTTGCCGACCCCATCCCCCCCACACCGCGGCGGCGGGAGGGGGCCTAGGACCCGGGCTCTTTGCCTCGAGCGACCCGTGAAATCCCCCGTGAATCTACTTCACTATCATCCATCGGTCACGTAACGTCGGTGTTGTTTTACTGTTAGTGCTTGATTGGAAGTCCTTTCTGATTACATATGTTATGTGGAACACGAACGCATGCTACAAACCATACAGTGTATCATCCGTTGTTACGTCGATCCTATTCTATTGTCTTCTATTCTATTAGGTGAGAAATCATGCCCGTCCCCTTCATACTACTCACGTCCTTGGCGTAGCCGACCGCTTTTTCAAGCAAATTTCCGGGTGGACACTTGCATGACACGAGAACGCACCCTGGCGGCGATGATGTGCCAAACCACCGTTTCGTGTCAAAGCTGATGCGCAGCAGCTTCGGTTTTGCATGGCTTTGGTGGACTCTTGCAGCTTCGCAGCTTCACCCCAAAAACTTCCCCCACCTCAGGCCCAAGATATGCAGTCACTGCAGTCTTTTACTGAGTCTTTTCTCGCTGATTCATTCATTCCTTCCTTCCTTCATTCCTGCCTTCTTCCTTCATTGATTCTTTAGTTGATATCATGTCCTGTCCTTTCCTTCTTTCCTTCCGTCCTGCCATTTCATGTCGCTGCATAAAACCCCTTTCAATCATTCATCCATTCAGTCATTCATCCATCCGTTCAATTCATTCATTGACTTGTTGACCTACTTGTTTGTTCATGTACACTGTGATTTATTTACTCATGTATTTCGTTTGTTACATGGATATGTAACTTTTCTCATTTAAACTGTTTACACTATATTTGACATGCCAGCTCTGTAACCTGAAACGCTCCAAGCCTGGCGAGGGGTTCTTTGCTCTGGAGATAGCTGTGGCTCGCCGCAACTGCCTCGGCCGCAAGTCAAGCAGCTTCCAATAAGGTCAGCAGGGAATTTTCACGAAGAGAACAATCTCTGAGATCTTCAGGAACCTCTACACCGATGAAGGAAAGCGGCGCTTTGGTTCACGAGGCGAGGACAGCACAGGATGCTTCTCGCTGGACTGTGGTCTGTTCAACTTGCTCTTCTGCTTGGCTTCCAGATCTCTGGCCAGAGGACTGAATCTCCAGCGGGGCTCTGTCGACATCTGGTGCGTACCCCCAGGCCGCAAGGTCTTCCAGAAGTCATGGACAGCTTCTGCAACCCTTTTGGTGTTGGTGGAACTGGACTGAAGCTCAAATGCAAGGTTGTCCTGCTCAGTCTCAGAGCTAGTACGCGGCGGGCGCGGGGTCAGCAACCTCGGAACGGGTGGCGTGTCCACTCCCTTGGAAAGGGGACGGCGCTTTCCAATAGGCGGCGGCGGAGTGCGCCCGCTCTGCCTAGTTTGCCGCATGGGTGCGATGGTACCGCGAGACAACATGCTCATGTTGGGCACTGCTGCACAGTGGTTCACCGATGGGCCAGGAATGTCCAAAACGTGCTAACATTGCTTCCTGGAATGTTGCTAGGCGCTCTGCTCTGCTCCAGGATGAAGGAAAGTACTACCAGCACATTATGGCCTCACCTTCGAGGTCTCGAACAGTGACTGCAGGGAAGCAAAGTGTCTGAGGAGTCGAAGCCATCCGAGGAGTCCCACGCAGCCTGACAGTTGCAACGGGTCCTCGCTCACCTCAGGGGGTGGTGGGCCCATTTCGGAGCTGCCAAGCCCGGCAGCAGGAAAGTTATCCTGAAGATCCAGAACCTGCCAGGGCAGGAAGGGGTTGCAGATGATTAGATGATTGAGTCCCTAGCCGCGACATGGCACTGCATGGAAATTCCGGGTTGCTGACGCTCAGCGAGGCAGACGTCACAGCCGCACAGACTGACCAAGCAAGAGCACGGTAAGGGCATGTCAAAGTCGGCTTCACAATCGTGCCTAGATCAAGAAAGATCTCTTTTGTCAGCAAACCCAATTCATTCCTCGGTAGCTCGCAGCGTGCGCTGCACGGCCACAGGACACATGAAGCCATGAGAAGCAATGTCATCGGCAACAGCTCAATGCCAACAGGCAAAAGCTACAGTCGCGGCTGGGTTTACTACATCAACAAACCCTGTGGGCCAGTCTGTGCCAGATTGAGGAACTTCAGGTCGGGATGGTTGCAGACCACCTGACGCACGCTTCGGCGACTCTCTGAATCGGAGCATCGGCGCAGCATCGGCGCAGTCGCCTCCGCCCAGCGCCGCGCTCCGAGTTCGCCTCTGTCTTGGCTTGGCTTACGGAGCGGAGGAGGCGTAGGACTTAGGACTCAGAGTACCAGGCGTACTCTGAAACGATTCGGTCCAAGAAGCGGCTCCTATTCCCTCGCAGATCCACGGAAAGAACCGGCAGCGGCACGTTTGACACGGCCTGCCGACACAGCTTCCCAGGCATGCAGAATGAATGCCTTCAAAGAGCAAACAAGAGTTGCTGCAGACACCTCGATGTCATCACCTTCCTCCGGAGGAGCAACGCCTCCGATAGCCTCCGCGATGGCTATGCTCCCACGCTCCTTGTAGCAGGGAGCACAGGCATGCCAAGAATTTCCAACAATGCAACAGTTCTCCTGTATAAAGTTGTCACACAGCTCGATGCTGGTGAGTCTGGGAAGATTGCCAAGGCTGGCAGCAATGATCGAAGCACCTGGCAATTACGAGCAGCAACCATGTGCTATGGCAACTTCTTGCAACAGCTTGCAAAGCAACCCTGCAGGCCTGCCTTCGTCACCGATGTCGTTGGAAACAAGAGCCACATGCTCTACGCTGCTGCCGGTGTCCACGAGCGCTCTGAACCTAGCGCACGTCTCAGGACTTCATGTCTTCTCACTCTAAGCTCAATGTCTTGCTTGCTCTCAGATGCGAGCAGAAGCTCGGTCCCGGCATCCCCCAAATGATTGTGATTGAGGTTTACCTGCGGCACAAAACATGCACCAGCCTGTACCTTCGAGCCATGCAACTGCACGTCGACGTGAGTTTGTATACCTCGGACGACCTGAAAACCTTGATCAGTTACACTTGGCTGAGCTTTGCAGGCACCGGGGCTTCGACATGAGTCAGAGCAGGTAACTCTGTCAGCTCAGGGAGTTTGGTGATGTGAGCCGGTCCTCAAAAGCGCACTCGCCCGTCTTGCGGCTATGTCAGCTCGGGAGCACGGCATGAACACGAGCGCGAGCGAGAGAGAGAAAGTTAGAGTGGCGGCGTGCGCAAGCCAAGCCATTGCCAAGCCCGGTGCCTAGGTCCAGATGCTGAAGGTCCACGGACCTTTGCAGAAGACATCTGTATGTATGCTGATTGTTGAGTGATCGCCGTCTTTCGATCTGGGTGATGGTCTGCACGCTGTAAGGATACCTACACCCAGAAGGAAACCACTTCGAGCGGCTAGAGTATCACAAGTAGAACCAAAGTGCCCAATATGGCGGTGGCAAGTCCCGACAATCCAATTGACAATGAGAACATGTATGGATGGCCCTCAGCCGAGGTTCCTCTGCCGCCTACAATGCTTTCGAGCGAATGGGGATCGAGCGTCGCAACTGCAAAGAAACCTGACACGTCCACCTCACCCGGAAGACCTGATGCAAGCAGAGCTTCAGGGCGTGCTGGAATCTTGGAGCCCTCTGCGGCTTTGGCTTATCGCAGCAAGCTGATCCGGTGGCATCACATCGTGGTGAGTCAGCTCCGCATCATCTTTGCCTTGTTAGCAATCGATTCGGGAAGGCAATGAGCAGCGGTTCTCCGGGCGGCCAGCCGTAGAGAGTCCGGTAGCAGCAGTGCAAGCGCTGCCGATTGATGTTATTCACCTGAGCTTTGACGATGTGACAAGGTCCGGTGGAGCTTGAGGTTGCCCGGGGGCTCTGGGGGCCCGGCATAGAGCGCTTTGGGTGGGCCTGTGCCGCCTGTGCCTGGCTGGTCTGGGCTTGGCAGGGCAGAACAGAGCACCCGCACGCACGCACAATCACGCACACACGCACGTGCCGGCAGGAAGCCTTGGTTTTGCTTGGCTTTTCGTCGTCTCGCAGCTTTGTCCTTCTACCACACTCCCCGAAAGCAGTTCATCTCATGCAGGATCAGTGTTCCTGCAGGCGCTGCTTCATGAAGCCGAAGCTGTCCATTGCCTCAAGACGGGGGATGGACAGTTGCAAAACTGCCAGCAACTTGAATCTCCATCTTCAACTGGATTCGTTAATCCTCCTTGGTCTTGTGCAGATTGCCCACTTCCGGTGGGGTTTCCAGCAGGCCTTCCACGAGGCAAAGCAGAGGTCCCCGGACCAGAGGTTTTCAAGGCGTTAGCTCAGGCGGGCACGTAATGAGCACGTCATGACCTGCTGAAGCGAGTAGGTCCTGCCAGATATGTGTGAATGCATCGTCGCACTCAATCAACCTCAAGCGGAAGAACCAGCAATCGAGAAAGAACGGAGATAGGGAAGACAGAGGGAGATGATGGGAAGAGTTGAGAAGGTCAAGGCTCACAAGGCTCGCCTCGCATCCCGGAACTGAAGGAACCATCGACACACGGAGCTCTGCCAGGATCGGACCTAGGGCGCTTAGGAGCGGATATAGAAGAGTCTTCACACAAGGACGAGCGGAATCACTAGTCAGGGGCTCGTTGCCAGCAGCTGTGACCACTATCAGACTATGAGTGGTGACTTGTGCCGTCGACGTACACTGCAGACCCTACGATATGATTAACTTCTCCGGCACAGATGTTGAACAGCTGCTATGGCTGCTGTGGATGGTTTGCCGCTACTTGCTCGACACGGGAGAAATGGCGCACAGGCAGGATTGGATATCAGGAGCTCAACTCGTGCTTGTCGCTGCTATCCGTCCTCGAAGACGGAGTGTCTGAGGCACCAGCATGCTTCAAAGAGCCTGCATGTAGAGTCGATGTGTGCCTGCAGTCGTGCCTGAGAAAGCGGCCCGCTGTCCCCACAGCATATGCACATGATCGTTCCAATGGGCTGCAGGCCGCTACCGCAGCCACCTTACCGCCCTCGACAGGTGGCGGAAATGGACTGTCATTGCCTCAGCAGAGGCGGAGCGTTCAAACAGAATCTTAGCGGTATCGATGCCGAGAAGAGGACTGCAGGGTGCACCAGCCTACATGCAACGCAACGAAACATGATGCAACATGCAAGCTGTTAGCAGCCAACGGTCACAAAACGAGCCGCAGGCCTGGTGAGCCGGCCTACGGACATACGAGCACAGTAGCGGCTTCCAGGCTTCAACTTGAGTTACGCGATTCTCTTCTGGCCTCCCCCAGAACTCTGAAGAACCGGATGTTGCGCTGAGGAGATACGGAGACACGACAATGTGCCTGGCGCGCTGCTCAGGGAGCTGTGGGGCTGAAGATGAGAGGGCGTAAGCCAGCAGCAGTAACTCAAAGCAGCTCAGTAAGTAGCCGCATTCTTAGGACTGTCTTTGTCAACGTGCCCGGCCACACTGACACATGCACTGGTAGGAATTTTAGGCACCGACACATGGCAATATGGAATGGTCTGGAAGTGATGCATGACCTTGCGCATGCCCCATGCTGCTGGTTGCTGACTACGGACTCGAATGCAGAGCCAGGAGCCCGGCTCCTGCAAAGAAGTGTATGTCACACTCGGACATTGAAGCCAAAGAGGTGACCTCTGCTAGGACGCTTCGGCATTTCACAAGAAAACGTTCCGGCACTTGGCCTTGCCACCGGAGGTTTGCCTCGCACGACGCAATAACATCCAGCTACAGTACTGAACCAGTCTTGCGCAGGTCAGGATCCTCTACTGACACCTAAATTTGACGCCCGGTCTGTGCTTGCGGCGGTGCGGAGCAATTTCAAGCCCGGATTAAGACTTGCGCGAGCTGTGCACGATCCTACGCCTTCACCAACTGGACGTGCATGCTTCAACTGAAGCGGGCTGGTCTAAGGCCGGGACGAGCTGGCATCAAGAAAGTTGCGAAGCCTTAGCAGTGTCGGTGATGAAATGTGCAATTTGCATTGGGTGCCGCAAGACTTACGAAATCTGAGGCAGTGTCAACATCGGTGGGGCGGTTTGCCGGCTACTGCCACCACCAGTGCCGGTGCTGCGAGGTATCGCCTGAAGCGCCTAGGTTTTGGCTTTGCAATGCAACCTCCTCTCGTCTCCATCGTTGGGTGTCGTGCCCGGGGATGACAGAATGCGACAACATCTCGCAAACTTTAAGTGAGAATTTTAGGCACGCTAGGCGCGTCAATCGAACGGAAAAAGCTACACTGTATGTTGTCGAGGAGGCAGGAACACTTGAAAGACTGTGCGTGGCCGAAGGCGCAAGCTGCAGAAACAACTGCAGAGGCAGTAGCAGCAACTGCTACGGGTTCCGAAGCCTCGCTCGGAACCTCCCCGCAACTGTTCAGGAATAGGGAGCTTCTCGCAGGGGCACCCAAACTCGGCAGAGACTGCGAAGTCTGAAGTCGGAGCAATAACCGTTGCCCAGAACGCCCTACAACGCTACTGTGCCTCTCTTGCGGCAATCTTGCGTTTCGCTAAATCGAGCTGCTGCACGTCCACATCCGCTCGCACGCACAGCACATGATTAGAGTCTTGGAGCTCTCATGACACTCGGAGCACGAGAATGCTCGAAACACGCCTTGTGGCGAGTCTGGCAAAGGGCCCTTCAAGTCTCAAGGATATTCTGTCAGCTTCGGCAGTTTCAGGAGAACCTCACCAAGGAGCTGTTGCAAAACTTCAAAACTTACACCACACCTGTCACCGACCAGGGCGATTCAGACCATCCTTCGACAAGCGACCTCGGACCTAGTTGGGAATGAGAGGTGACAAGCATTTACAACCCCTTCGCGCGCCAACGCTCGTTCTGTGATGCTGTATGCCTCTGCAATCTGCCAGCGGTTTCGACTCGGTTTCGATCATGGAACCGAGTTCGGGCCCCGAGCTTCCATGTCGACACCGTTGACCATGCGCAGGCTGCTTCCAGTCGCACCAGCCTGTCGCCAAGACTGAGACTTCCGGAAAACAAGACAGTCTTGAACAGTACGTGTTCGCCATGGCCTCACGACTGTGCTGCATGAAATTGAGGAGCTCATAGGATGACCGAGTCTTCCTTGGTGACGAGCACGAAGCATGGAATCGCCACGGTCCACGGAAGATTAGCACATCTGCATCATTTGGCAAGCTAGGAATAGCTTGGGTCGCTTCAATCGCAAGCAGCCTCGAAGGTTTAGCTCGCATAGGCCGCCGCGAAGTGCACCACTCAGGTACCTCTGACATCGAAACTGTAGGCGGTCACTATACAACGACGGTACGCTACCAAAGATAGCTCTGTCGAGCCGGTTCAACAACAGAAAGATCGGCACGGTGTCTTGAGCGTGTGACACAAGTCAGCCACGGTAGCATCCGTGATCTGCAAGTTGCCTTACATGCGAGCCATCTGAACAGAGACATGAGCAAAGCTCAATCTCGCCTGACAGATCGATTTTGGTGAGGTTGACTAAGCCACCTCAGCGGAGACGAGATCAGAGCTCAATCTGCCGGCAGGCATGCCATTCGGGCGTAAGTCTTCGACCGCTCCGCGATGCACCCTGCGCAACTTGCTTCTTCAGGACCCACAGCCCGACAAAATCTATCCGCTGAGCGGGGCGTTTAGATCATAGATCAGCATGTAAGGACCATGTTGGGTTGACCCGGTAATTCATCCGTGGTGCGTGGTCTGGTCGCGGCCCCCGCAGCCCCCTCCCCTTGCCCCAACACCCAGCACCCCACCCTCCGTCTCCTCCCTGCCCCTTCCCCTCCCATCCCATCTCGTGGCACGATCCCAGGTCACGACCGAGAGATAGTCAAGGCATCGCCGGTGGCTTGACTCCCTTGCACATTCTCTAGTCGAGGTTGGACATCGTCATTGTCGCTGCCTGCCGCCTGTATGCCCCACAGGTGACTACAGTGCCCTCGTCAACATTAGCAGCAAATGCGTCCGCCGCTTGGATCTCGCAGATATTTGCCAGCCGGTGCACGGAACTGCTGTCACTGCCAATTGCGGCGAAAGTGCTGTCATTCACCTGAAAGCTTTGTGCATTCTTCAACTGGGGCTGCAAAATGTGCCATCGCGACGACTGCCCCACGTATGAGCCAGGATCGCTCGCTGGCACATTGGCGAGCTGATGTTTCACAGTGCTACTGTCGCCACATGTCGCCACCCTTGCTATCCTGGCCAAAGGAAACCACCCGCCCATCGGCACGAATGGCCGCAAAAGCTTCCACTGCAAACTGGGTTTGCTGCACATTCTTGAGCTGGTCTTGCTCGGCAGACAAAGCACCGGGATTAGGCATGATGTTTTCGTCCCAAGTGACGACGCCGCCATTGCCCAGAACGGCAGCAAAAGTGCAATCCGTGGCTTGTATCTGATACGCATCGTTCAGCAGTGCCCAGACATCAGTGCTAACACTGCTGCAGCCAACGTGCTCCCAAGTCACAGTCTGAGTCACAACCGAGCCCTCGCCGAGAAGCCCTGCAAACGCGCTCACACTTGCTTCAATCTCCTTCACCTTCGCAACCGTCCCTGCAGAGCAGTCACCGCTCAGATCAGCCTCGCCCCAAGTCACCACTTTGCCAACCTTCAGTGAATCCTGCGCAAATCCCTGACCCCAGGTTCCTACAGATCCATCGCCAACTTCAACGCAGAGTCAGATGGCCGCCGCCTCAGGCTCCACTATACAATGAATACCCCGCTGATCTCAAATATACACGAAGCACGCTCGACTGGTTTATGAAGCATGGTCGCCTCTGCCTCCAACCGGCGAAGGTTAAGACCAGTGCCGAGACTTGAAGGATCCTGCTTCGGTACTTGCAACGCATGAAACAGCTGCGGACGGGCATAACGGAGCCCGGCTTGCGGTTATATGTTAAATTTACTTCGAACATGAAGACCCCCTGGGTGTGGGCACTACAGACAATACGCGGCGTGGTCTCTGGGCACTCCACAAACACTTTGTGGGAGACCTTAGGGTGGGCACTCTGGGGACACTCTGGATAATCCGAGGATCTGGAAATAGGCAGCATGGGCACGCCCGGATATTGCAAAGCTACTCTGCGGAATGGTCCGGGAACGGGAACTCCACGGATACTCTGCGGGATTCTCTCCACAGCTAACTTGACATGCCACAAGCCAGCTGCCTGGCCAGCAAAGTGTCTCAGCATGGCACAAAGGCCCCTCAGACCCACATCCTTGAGACGGCAGTCATGCATCAGACACTCGTGCTGCGATGGTCACTGCATGTCTGTGTCTGAGGAACAGTCTGTGAGACTGTGGCCTCAGCAGAGAGACATGAAACTGGAAACGTCTTGACCAGAATCACAGGCACCCGAAAGCTTCGCCGCCTTCCAATTTCAAATCAGATGGGCCGGCACCTGCAATCGTGTCTCGTTGTGCTCGGCCAAACTTACTTTGCTCCCGCCTCCTGTGCCGAAGGCAACAACCGACCACAAGCCCAAGCGTGCCTCCGTTTCAATCCACTTTGCCGCGCTTTAAAAGATGCTCCAGAGGCTCCAGCCATGACCCCAAGCGTGAAGTCGTTCCATTCCTGCTCCGCCAATGCTTTCAGAATGTTCTCTCACTTCAGCTCAGTCTCAGTTTCGTGCGATGCTGTCGGAGAGCTCAAGTGGAGCGCCACCTGCAAGCTGAGGCGACACGTCGTGAAGCGACGGCTCCGGCTGTGGCCTTCAGGATGATCCTTCAGCTGAACCAATCTGGACAGCGGGAGACCATTTAAGCCTTAGTGGTGGGGCTGACCGCCATGCAGCACCTCTGCAGTTGAGTCTGGACCTCGTACTACACCACACACTTCTGTTGAACTGAACATGTTTAGCATGGACTCTATTGTACGCAGCTGTACTGTATGCAGTCCGCATTACAATGCCCGATATACTGGCTTGCACGCGGCATGACCTCAGAAGCTTCTTAAACTTCCATCGAAAAATCAGCTCATCCTCTTCAAAGGGCTTTGAAGTGCCCGTGGGAGTGCCCAACATCCTTCGCTAAGGCGTGCACTCACGAGGCGCGGCGCCAGCTCTGCAACCGCCTCTAAATAGTCGAACAAGGAAGTCAGGTTACACTCTCTGAGCCTGAACCGTGATTCCCCGCAATCGTGCGCCTGCAACAGCAAGCTCGCACCCCGACTCGACAATCTTAGGTCAGATATCCGCAGGACTTCCTCGGAGACTCGGCAGGTGCTGCAATGCCCGGCATGCCCCAGGCTCCCAGCAGTCAGGCAAGGAACAAGAACGACTTTCGTTACTGGGGGCGGAGCAACGGACCGCAGATTCAGAAGAGCATCTGTTAAGTGTGCCTCGGAGGTATATGATGTCTGCTTCAGCACACATACGGCAACCCGGCAGCACTTCAACAACAGATCCCACAATGAGCGCGGCCAGTGTGGAATCTTGCGGGATTTCCAGCCTGCGAAGAGTGACCTGGACATGACAAGACAAAAAAGCTAAAGAGGCTCACACGGCCTTCCACACCACACCCGAAACTCTCTCTCACACACACACACACCCACACACTCTTTGACCCTTCCGATACCTCGCGTAACTCTGGGAAGGAGTTGGGAGTGACCTTGCGAGGGCACTGGGGTCTTACACGCTCCCAATCAAGACAGTGTGATGGTGTTCTGCTGGCTTGACTCATTCGTTGCTTGGGAGCTGAGGCACTTGCCAGCTGCAGAAACAAGTAGCCATCACCTGGGCAGTGGAGATTTTCCTGGTAAGACTCACGGGTGCTTTTCGGACGGAACTCGAGCCCACTCCTGTAGCAGGGACTAGTCACTCGAGCAGCTGTGGCATGAGTGGCAAGAGCTTCGAGCCAGTTTCTTCCGCTGCATGAAAGCTCGCTTCTGTTCGCTTTTGACAAAGCCTCTGTTGTCTGCATCACCAAAGGAACTATAGGTCGGCAAGGCATGGCGATTGAACAAATGTATCAGAATGTCCTGCAAAAAGACCCACTCGCTTCAGATCACGAAAGCACCTACAGGAAGTGGCCAGCAGTGAGGCGGCAATGACTTTCGAATGTCGGCAAGCTCCCGTAACAGTAGACCACCATTGCCTCAAAGCAACGGCAAGCCCACAGAGGTACTGTGCCAGAAGCATGCTAGCAGCAGCATCGCTTGCTACCAGGAACTAAAACCAGAGAAGCAGAACCTGCAGAATGCTATGTGGTGTGATGTAATTTCCATGTATGCAGGTATATGCAGTACTCACATACATCGGCAGACACACGTACATAATACATGTATGTAGATGTACGATATACGTATATACATACACATATATGCGGATGTGTCTTCAGGTCGTTTGTAACACTCCCGCAAGACGCCGCGCTGCAGACATACATATATATATATATATATGTATATACAGCTACCCCTCTGCTTATGTAAACGAGGCGGGTGGACAGACAAAAACAGGCGTACATACATGCATGTGTTGGTAGGCATGCTTACATTTAGGTTCCTTGCAGGCACGGGTGTTGATGCCTGTGCCAACGAGGAACCCACAACAAAGCCACAAATCACCCCAGGCCCGCCTAAAGCCATGCATACATCACGTGCGTCGTTCATGTGCCTGCTAATGGCCTTGTTATTTTTACTGGCATATATATATATATATATATGCTACCCCCCCTCATGTACCCACGCTTTGCGCTTGAATTGTGCGGGATCGTCGTCGTGGCAGTACAAACCTTTCCAATCTCCACTGTTCTTGGTTATATGCAAAATACACGAAAGTACTAATATTTTCTTCTATGCCAGCACCAAGTGTCGTTTCACTGTTACATTTAGCAATGATGCCCTTCATGTGACCAGTGTCTTTACTACTATGGTTATGCCCACCGTTCTGATTGCTTCAGTAATACCAACCCAGCTAACACTCTGTATTTCCACCTGTCTTACTATGTCTGAATAAAAACTTTCCTAGGTACGTAACCCAGCTAGCACTCTTTATTTCCCCCTGCGTTAGTATGTCTGAAAAACACTTTCTCAGGTACAGTAGTCCCGTGGCTATTGTTCACCCTGTTTTATACTAGCCCGACCTGTAAAAGTAAATGTATTGGTTGTTGAATCCTACGTTTATTCACATTTTGATAAAGTATAAGCCTACGAGCTGTTACTTTTCGAAGATTGCGCCTGTGCTTTCACGATTTGCCAACATACGCAAAAACTCTGAGTAAAATCATGGCTTATTCTGCCGACATATTTGTTCCTAGAAGCCAGCTGAAAGAGGCGAAGACCGATGATAATTCAACATGTTTTGGCTGCGTATTGAACTTTCTACTCCATTCTACTCCTCTTCGATTAAGCTATATTGCTACTGGTACTGATTAGATAAGTTTGTTGTTGTCGCTGTCTTGTATTGATATGAACTGTAAGGTTTGCATGTTTATTGGGAGCTTAGGTAATCTTTAGCCTATGCATCATCTGGATCATGTCCGTTCTATCGAGCTACAGCTTGTCCGTTCTTACAAATTCGTTTACATGTTTCGCACCTAATGCATGATGACCAATAAAGAATCTTGTATGTCAGAGTTTTGTGGTGACTGTACCGGGTAGTGCTCTTTACTGTAAGCACCAGTTAAAGACGTACAAAAAGGAAAGTGAACCACCTAGAGACACCCCCAGCCAAGCATGAAGCAACACGCGCTATACATGTACCCTTAGAAAAGTGTAAGCGAAGCCAATACATTTTCCATATAACACCAAATTTCCCGTAGTAAAGGCTTCAGTCCTAGACAAGAGTAGACGATACGTCTAGTTCCGTATAGGGTAACGGACGAAGACGATCAATTAAGTGGTCTTCTTACAGTACCGTCTTCAAGCAGAGATTCATGCCTAGTCTTGTACAGCATGAAAGGATTGATTTCGTGAACATGTTCACAAAACATGCAGCAACGTGTGTAATCACATCGCAAGAGCACATATGTCATATATGTGCCCAACAAATGAATCCGGCCAGTCCGTCAAACTATAAAACTAGTGGTTAGGCCGACTAAATTTCATCAACAGTTTTGCACATGTCAAAAGGGTATTAACGGTTCTATCAATATGAACTTCAGTTTTCCTAGTTGTACGATGCTGCTGGCATGGAATTGCTGTGCCAGTCTACATGTCCAGACAGTAAAACAGAAATGACGGGATGAATCACGGCAGTCACAGCTGTATGGTAACGTAAATGACTGGCACAACTCACAAAAGACCAGACGTTGCATATAATCAACATGACAATAGAAGGCGAAGGGGAGCCGGGAAACAAGTCTAGAACATAAGATGTGCAATTCGGTGTTGACGGTAAGATAACTGCAATGACGATGAAGTTGATTGAACAGATTACTGCACAATGGGCTAAATCATGGAGGATTACGCTAACGTGTAAATGACAAAAACGATACTCATAATCGTGCTGGACTCACATCTCCTGAAGCAACAAACACAGTATTGACTGAATAATGACTGGCATACTTCATGACAAATTAAACAGATGCTATAACTATCATGACAGTACACATGCCGAATAAGAAGGAGAGAAACCGAATCATCCGAATCATTTCCGAATGATTTTGATTCGGGCCCGCATCCAAGATCCAAGACTGCACAGAGGTCTTGTGCGGGCAATCTTGGATCCGACCCCCATCCGAATCATCCGAATCATTTCCGAATCGTTTTGATTCCCCCGATCCAAGATCCAAGATTGCCCAGGGATTGCGAAGGAATCTTGGATCCAATGGGTGAGCTTCGGATCCAAGATTCCCTGGCAAGACCCCTGGGCAACCTTGGATCTTGGATCTTGGATCCGGGCCCGGGCCCGAATCAAAATGATTCGGAAGTGATTCGGATGATTCGGATCCAAGATTGCCCACGCAAGACCTCTGCGCAATCTTGGATCTTGGATCCAGCGCCGGGACCGAATCAAAATGATTCGGATGATTCGGGGCTATTTTGGAGGGAACCCGCCAATGACATGAAATAAGAAAATGCAATCTGCAGGCACTGCCCCCAATCCCAAACTCCCACGCCATCCTGAACCTGAGATTTAGGAGAAAGGCTTGGGGACGAAGGGGATCCCACGGACCCACGCCTTCCGAAAACTGGGATTTAGAAGACAGGCGTTGGTACATGGGGAGGGTACCATACATACATATCTATATATATATATAGATATATATATATATATATATATGCATTGTGATGAGGCATAAACTGGTGATGTTGCTGATGTATTGGACAGTCGTCCATTTGCTTGTCTGCTGGGCGTTGCACACATAGGGACATTGCGTTGAAAAGCAACTGTTGTAGCAGGACTCGTCACGGGCTAAAGAGTTCGTCACTGACACTTTAAAGAAGCATTCCTCAAAACCAAGCGTCACGGACAAAGCCAGCTGTCTATCCCGGTTCCAGTTCTGATATGGTGTGGCAGAGAACTCGACAAAAAACAAATTCCTTGCTGCTTGCTGACCAAGCTTCTTTGTAGAAGTCGCTCGTTTGAAATTGGCTCGTGTAGCACCAGCGCATCGACAACAGGCTTTGCAATTATGCGCAAGTACTCTGGGATCTCGCTGCGGCATCGGGAGTCCTCTGCAAGCACGATCTGCATATAGAAGCCGCGCTGCCGGTCAATCAGTGGGAAGTAGCCATAAGCTCCAGGTCCGGCTTGAATTGATTCCTTCACGCAGAGTGCCGAGAGTGCTGCTGAAGATCCTTCATCATGACCAGACCCATAGCCCATGCAGTCAAACCAATGACCCATGCCTCAGATCCACCAGGCTCTTCTTCGGTACTCAATCCAAAGGTTGAGAAACAGCATACATACTTAACTGACACAACCTGCACTACGACCTAGAGTGTCGCCAATTGAAGCGAAGAGGCCGTAGTGACCAAACCAACCGTCGCCGCATGGAACGACAGGTGGCGCAGACCAGTCCTTCTCCATTTCTGACAGAACCTCCATTCCAAGAAACTCGTACGAAAGCAGCTTCTGCAGCATCTTCTCAAAATCTGAACCCGTGGTTGTGATGCCAAACGCAAATAGCGGATTCCGCGCAGGTGTCCAGGTGGTCCCATTCATGCCTGCGAGCACGTTGCATCGCATAGCAAGTGCAAACATCGTGACATCCGCATGCAGGTTGGACTCTGCAGGCAGCGCATCCCCACCCTATCAGCACATTCAATCTCTGCTGGCCTGGTTTCTTCAGGCCAGCACAACTGACAGATAATCAACAGTCTGCCGGCAGGGCATGCTCAGAACTGTTGTGCCTAAGGGGTCGTAGAGGTATTTCTGGAAGAGCTTGTCAGGTCTTAGACCAGAAGCTGCGACCGCCATTGCTGCTGCCAGCTGAAGGTGGATCGAGATATAGGCCCAGGTTTCTCCTCCGGCCAGCGAAGTCAGCGAAGGGGACTAGAACACTCACTGCAACTCCAGTTGCCAGTCCTGGTGGGCTTGTCAACTTAGCACTCTCATATAAACGCCTTGCGCACGAGAGAAAGTCGGCCCACGGATTGAAACTGCACAGGAGCTTGGGATCTTTCGTATAACCTCAGCGCCATGATCGTGTGACATCTGCTGCATCCACGAAATCAGGGCATCTATGTTAAGGCTGGAAGCCAGACTGGAAGGTCATGAGGTCCCGCAAGGTTATTCTGCTTCTAGGATCTTCAGAATCTGTTGACCACCAAGACAAGTATTTGTTGGCCTTGTCGTCAAAAGAGAGTGTACCTCACAACATCGAGACTTCGGGAGCGTAGGGTCAAAAGGCGATGACTGCACTGACAGATCAAGCAGTGTGCAGTTCTGGCAGCCATTGTGCTGCAACATGTCACAATCGCTTGCACGGCTGTCAGCTATCGTCATCGTCTTGTGGACACAAGGCACCTTCCCTACGAAAGACGTACACGGCACACAGAAAGCTAGCCAAGCCAAGCAAGCAGCCGTCAGCTACGAGGCCAGCAATCGCCAATGCGGCTGGCCACTTGGAGAGACTGGCCCCCCTCAAGCGTTTGTTCATGCCTGTGGTACCTCGCACGTTTTGTCGACAGACTTGGTGAAGCAAGCCATACCGAAAAGCAGCGAACCAAAATGCTTCGCTGCCTTTGGTGTAGGTGTAGAGCGGCCCCTGCGCAGAGCCTTGACATCGAATCAAGCACGGCGGCGGTACCGCAAGCAAGCCAAAGCTCCAGTTCTCAGAACCTTGCCAACATTGAAGGAGAAGTCCTTGTCCCAGCCCAGCGATGCCCATGCATCTAGGCCATCCTGCAGTAGCTGCCATCCGCCTGTTGCCGAAGCATGGCCCTTGACCAAAGAGACGAGAGCTGGCAGCGTCAATCCTCCTGCCAGTGCCAGTGCCAGGTTCCATCTTTTGGCCACATAAGCGCTTTCATCGGTGATTCGATCTGAACAGTGACACCTCCTCGCGAGAGCAGCTCAGAGCGGCTCACGCTGCCCGGTCCCGCAGCTTTCGCAGGGTCCTGCCGGTTGGGCGGCTGGGAAGGCGCTAAAGTCGCTAGAGTCAGAGTCTGTGTGGATCTCTGACCGAGTCCTTCCCAGCAAGAATGGCCAGAACTGCGGGAACAGAGACTTTGCGCAAGAGTTCACCTCATCAATTCGCTCCTCGGCCCTTCGGTGACTCAGCAGGCTCCCCTGTTCTTGTCAAAGCAACTTCTTTCGCCATGGATACGGATGTCGATGCCATACTTCTCAGCCGTCTCTGAAGGCTGAAGCGGCTGCAGATCTCCGACATCTCCACTCGGATATCTAAACAGAACATGACTGCCGTTTGCAACCTCAGCAAAAAATGATTTCGAGGTTCTGCAGGCTGCTTGAAGGAAAGAGTTTGCATCAGGCGGCCTCGAAAGTGAAGCTCGAATCAAATCCAAATGATTGCCATGCTTTCAAGCCATCTCGCAAGCCATCCCACGCGAGCGTTCCCTCCGCGGCTTGCGCTGCCTCTGGCGGCAGGAGAGGCGAATAAGACTCTGAGATCCTGAATTAGGCGGCTTAATTTCTGACGTCAGATAAGGTCAAACCGAGTCTCCCGGACGAAGGCGAGCTGCACCAGCACCACCACCGAGCTTACATGGACTCCCATTCGCATGATGCCAGTACGAGACTGGTCACGCTGATTGTCCATGAACCCTTGCATGTGATGTCGTGTGACTGCTGGGCCTGTGCGGCTAACATCGTACAAAATTTCTGGCCAGCGGCTATTGCTCCGGAATGACTATTGACTAACGACTGCGGCAATCAAGAAAGCTGCGTTGTCCCAAGAGCTGATGCAGGCATCATATAGCCGAGAAAGCAGCCATCATCCATTCGAGCGAAACTCGTCTCGAACACCTGGCAAAATCCGAAATCACAGCTGCAGCAGACCGGCCAGTGGTGCTCTGAGGCGCCTCCTTTGCATACGCCTCATCGGCAGGATCCTCCGCTCAAGCAAGAAGCACGGAGAAGATAGAGATGGACAGAGATAATCAGGACCAGGACGTCGCAGCATCATGTCTCAACAAGGGAGAGGACTAAGCAACAGATGGCTACCCGTCGAACAAACAGACAAGACAGGAAGGTGGGAGAGGGAGGCAGACGGAGAGAGTCAGGTTGGAGGAGGAGAATAGGCTGATAGGCTGATTGACTTGTAGTTGTAGCAGAGGATGTCCGGAGAGGCCCCCTGCGGACCCAATCCTCTTCATCCTCGCCGTAGGGATCCTCGTCTCCAGCCTGCGTGTCTAGTCGTAGCCTGTTAAAAGCTGACACGAGGTACAAAGCCTGCCGCTTCGCGTGCTCGACGATGCCAATACCATCAATATCTCAGCAAGGACAACGGAACACTGCAACAGCTCCTAGTATTGCCTTTTAGGCACTGGGCTCCTAGCGTAACACCTTGCATGTGGCTGCTTCATCCTCCTCGAGCTCAGCATGTACAGCGTGAGCAGCAAATAACGATCCAGGCTGAGAAGCCAACCATGACCGGCAGCTGGTTCAGGCCTTGGAAATCTTCGAACTGCCGCCCGGCGAGACCAGGCGTTCAATTTACGACGACTACTGCTGCCCTTGACCTGTAACAGATCCTGTTGCGCCATAGTCTCCTCCATTGTCTGTAGGCAGCTATTAGGCTAAGCAAAGCGAAAACGTCTTTCTAGCTCTCGAAACCTCTCAACGCCCGAATCGAGAACTGCCACCCTTGCTAACTTGCCACCGTACCTCGACAGATCCGTGGACGAGAACGTGCATTAGGAAGACATGCCGACGCAGCAGTGAAGGATTGAATAGATAGCCGTTGTCATATGTCATAGATCTGACACGACAATCAAGGCATACGAGACCTGCGACATCCTAGCTGCGTGCATATTTCTGCTCACAGCGGGATCTCAGGCGCCGGCGAACAAGACTTCTGTGGTTGCACACGAGGTCCAGCAGCAAGTTCCTGATTAAGCAGCAGCTGAGATCTACGAAATTGGAGGCAGTCTGCTGATGCTTTGACGAAAAGCGAAGGACCAGACGCGTCTTCGCGGGTCAAGCCATTGCCTCGAAGGTCCAGATCTTGTACGGGGCTATCTTCATGAAGGAGACCTCGAAGAGCAGAAGCGCACAATTTGCATGTGCTTGCAAAACCTTTGCCGAAAGTTTTTTCTGAACGACGTCACAGCTGAGGCCGCTTCTACGAAGAGACTCGTGCAGCAAGTTCTCCGCGAAGGTGGGCTCTCTCGGGTCCAGTTCCTGCAAAGAGCGCACACGCCTTCTGGCACCTCTACTCACTTCCTTCAGGGTCCTAGCAGCTTGGGGACCTACTCTTTCGAGGTAGAGTCGCTTAGACCAAGGCTGAGAGCCACAAAAAGTTGGAGCTTTTGACAGCCCTCACTCTCTTAGATCTTGAACGCCAAACCCCGACGGTCCAGATCCGAAGACCCAGGTATCCAGACATCCCCTCCCCCACCAAAATGTCGATGAGTTTTGATTCTGGCAGAGGGTTCAGGGGCTTGTTGGGTTGTTGAGAACTTCCAAGGTGCAGCCGTTCGGGATTCCCGAAGCCCACGCACACAGGTAAAACTGCACGAGGCCCCAACCAGTCACTCCCTGGTGCTGAGCCCCAAGTTAGGCCAGCCCATGCCCTAAGCATCCCTATGCTTTAGACACCCCAAGCCCGAAGCTCTTTCCATGGGCTGAGTGGGGTCCGACCGTTTTCGTACACGTGGGAAACGGTTTATTGGAGGGTGAGGGAAATCCGAGTATGTAGGGAGATGCTTCTGCCTCCATGTCACGCCTGCTTGCGACGCTGCGCATGGCGCGTGGCGCTCCGGGCGTCGCATGCCCAACGAGGACGATTACCACAACGGCAGCTGCAGTACTGCCACTACGAGTGCGCAGACGACTGCTAGGATTGTTGCCGAGGGTGCTGCCGCTGCAACTGCCAGCATCAGAGGCAAAAACAACAAAGCAAAATGCCACGACGACGACCACGGCTAGCTATCGGCGACCGAGTTGGACAAGATAAGCTTAAGACATGGTGAAGTACTGCAAGCCACAATCGCCCCCTGATCCCGCAGAAATTGACCCCGCACTTGGGTGATTCCTACGTCATCTGGCCTCAGACGAAAGCTATCAAAAAGGAAACTTTCCCACAAGTAACCATCTTGCTTCACTACCGCCGCAACTAACTACGACCATCGCACCGGCACCTAGCGCACTCCGACTCCTGCTGCTGCAGTTGCCGCCACTACCACCATCCCCCTCAATGTCGCCCGACGGCTCGCCCAAGCCAGGACAGCTCGGGATGCGTCGAGCTCACACAGAGAAGCTTAAGTAAGCTGCATCCTTCGCTATCCGTCGGGCGTCCTCGGCGATTCTACCGCAGGCCCGGCTGCTGCCTAAACGCAGGTCCGGGCGCCAGTGGAAGCGCCTCAGAGGCGCATTATTGAGAGACTGCATGCGGCACGGCTCGGGCAATAAGAAAGATGTGTTGACTGCAAGTCCGGCTACAGGAAAGAAAGAAAAGCTTCTTCTGCCTGTTGATAGTCGGTGTCGGACACCGTCTCGCACGGTCTGAGCTGCGCACGTTGGAGCAGACATGTCCTCGTCACCATCCTCCTCGGCGTAGCGTGGAGCCTGCGACAGCAAGTACCACGCCGAAGGTCAGGTGGTGGTAGCTGGACCACCAAGCAGCAGACATCAAGCTCATCCCCTGGCCGGACGAAGCGCAGGTGGCCTGTTCCGATCAAGGCTCTTCGCCCACGATGGCCACGAAAAGAGACAATGGGCCCCTTGCTGCCCTGCCCGAGCCAGAGTGGCTTCGAGCTCTCTGGCCACTCATCCGGTCTGGCCTTGCAGGCGGCTTGCAGGCTGCTGGCTGCTTGCATCTACTCCAAGTTCTGCCTGCAGCATCTTGCTTCTCAGGCCGCACATCAGCAACCTGAGAGCAACGGCAATGCCACAAAGGAGGCTTCCTGACCGAGCCGAGCAGAGCTGAGCCAAGCTGCGAGACCTTCTGGAGTTGCAGCTCGCCCCGAGCCTACAAATTCTACAAAGGAAGTATCATCTTCACATGTGCGCACCTCCATCCGCACCTCATCATCCATGGGCAGCGGCAAGTAGAGGTTCTGGCTCGGGTCTTCTGGCGGATCTCGGGTTTGATGCGAGCTGAGCTATGGCCCAATTTGAAAGAAAACCTCAGCTCCAGGCCTCTGTACGCTCTCCGGCTCGGAAAGCACAAGACTTGGATTTGCGGAGGGTGCAGTCTCTCAACCTCTGCGGCCAGCGCAGCCTAAATTTAATCCGGTGTGAAAGCAACCAGGAGCCTCAACTGGGAATGGCTCTTCCAGCGCCACGCCCGTCAAAGCCTAAGGGAGAGAAGTGCTTTGAGAGGTTACAGCGCAGGAGCTCCAGGCCCCGGCATCAACAAAGTCCTTCGGAGACATGCCTTCAATCTCAGCGCGTGAAATTGCCGTTCCAGCCTGGGACTGCACGCAAGGCAAATGCGGGAAGCTGCCTCACCCCTCAACTGCTAATTTGCTGACCATACCACGAGATGCAGGAGGTCACAGTGTAAGCGAACAAAGGATCGAGCGCTGACGAGTTCCACGAACCTGTCGCTGCGGATCAGTGCTGCCTGCGGCAGGGCCCGGTTTACGGTTTGCGTCGTCAGCATGAGTCAGAGCTTGTGGGGGTCCTCCCAGCCTGTATGCCGTCGAGCCAACTGTGCTGGCGCTTTTTGAAGCGCTTGCGTGCGAACCTCGATGTGATCCACCTGGCTGTAGAAACATAATTTAAAACTCAACAGCCGGACCTGCACAATTGCAAAACGGATACTGACATGCACCGGCCGGGGGCACTTCGGTTCCACTCGGATGCGCTCCACTGGCAAAGGCTTCTCACGACCTGGAAAGAAAAGATTTCAAGGTGCAGGTTTGGAGCTACTGAAGCCCATGACCGCTATCGCAAAAGCTGCATGCATTACCTCCTGTTCAGAATGATACAGACTTTTCGAAATGGTAAATGCTCGCTATATAGGCGAGCTTGGAAAAAACAAAAAAGAAGCTCCAAGCGTCGAGCCACACATTGCAGCAAAAAGAGAGGGAAGAACGGCCGAGATGTTCTCGAAGCCGAACCTTCATGAAGAGGTTACAGGATCATGCCAGTATGATGTGTGTGGTACTGGGGGCATACCAACACCTCAAGATTGAGGGGAGTGCTCTCGAAGTGCAGCACTGCAGTCCAGCCCCTGCGTTGTGCTGCACTGCACAACATGGTGCATCTGTAGCATCAGTCTTAGTAGCACATGGTCACTGGAAGGACATCAAGCAGGGACTGAACGAATGCGGTACACACGTGATGCCTGCAGCAGCGCTTCGCTGACGACATTGTTCCTGCAACCATAGTTGCAGCTACACAGCCGTGTGCAGAGCGATGCATCATTTGCTACCAACATGCACTATGCTGTGAATGCACGGGTCGAGAAGTATTGAGTCTACGGAAACAGAGCTTCGGAGGACATGATGCTTGCCAACGGTCCTCAGAGAGATGGCATGCACGAAGCGCGGCACTCCTATCAATATCAAAACATGGCAAAAGAGACTGCGTTCTTCCGGAAATGCGGCCTTCAGCATGCGAAGAGAGATGTGGCCCCAAGCGAGCCTGTTGAGCTTTAACCTGGTCTGACACCATGGACAGCGAAGTGGACCAATCACCGACACAAACTATGGGCTCAACTTTTGTCGCCGCGTAGAACGGGTCTTTCCACAGTGAAACTCCAAGCAACACGCACTCAGCACAGTCGCGCTGGGGCTTCGTCGTGCCTGACTGGGACTCAGAGCCAAGAGACGCCATCCAGCCCACTGAGATCGCGGCCTGCGGTTTGTTTGACTGCGATCAACAACAGCTGCAGCACATCATGCAATGCGGTGATGCTGTCCAGGTGGCCTGGCTCCTTGATGCCCACAACCGCTATAAACGGATCAGTAGAGTTGCCACCTGGGTGCTGAATTTCGGCTTCTCCAGCTCTAGGAGTTTTAGTAAACTTGATGATGCGGGATGCATGTGAGAGGCTGCTGGTCACGCATTCTACAGCAAACGAGACATGGACGGTCAAGACGGAAAAGCGGAATCGAAACATCGACATGCTGTGTAATATCGTGAAACCCTTCATGAAAGAGGCACGCGTCAAGCCGACTCCTGCAGCCGCGAAAATCCTGACAGGTGTGTGTGTGTGTATGTGTATGTGTGTGTGTGTGGGACACCTGTTTGCCAAGGTTCGCTGACATGCAGTATTTTTGCAGGGGGGTACGGCTCTCTGATGCTACCGTACCCAACGAAGCTATGCATCAGAGAGGGAAGCCAAGCCTGATCAGCTTGGTGTACCTGCAATTATTTCTGCAAGTGTGATGGCCCGGGGCTAAGCCTAGAACCCCAATAAATGTAAATGTGTTTGATGTTACTGACTATAGTGGCTTAAAATCCTTTACCTCTATGTTGAAAGACTGAGTTCCGACAATTACCATCAGTCCAGAGGGAGGATTGCACGAGTGTGCTCTAGACGGCTTTCGTCGATCGTGTCGTCTACGGTAGGGTAGCCTACTGCCTAGCCCTGATCGGCCCAGTCAAAACAAAGGACCCTGAACGGTCCAAGCCCTGATCGGCTTAAACCAACATCAAGACCTCTTGGTCTCGATCTCGCAATTGCTCTACGGAGTAATCATTCCTCAGTTCAAGGCCTGATCGCCTAGTTGCAGACAGGACTGATGCCCTTTCGTTTCACAACAGCCGTCAGTCTGATCAAGCAACTGTTCTCCCCTGGACAACTTATCCCTCCATGGCCTCCTGGTCATCATGGTCTACCAGCGATTCCAGCAGCAGCTGGGACAACAGACAACAATGGAATCGATGGAGCAAAGAAGACAAATGGGACTCCAAGTACTCTGAGAAGTCGTGGGAGCATGTAGCCAGCCCCACTTATCAATCTTTTACGTTGCCGTCTTCTTTTGTTTCTGATCAGCAGCACTATGACAAGACCCCTTTGGGCAAAGGTGCCCATGTGCTGCACAAGTTGGTTCAACCAACAGAGTGGTCCCGGAAAGCAGGGTTAGCCGGCCGTGATGTCAGTGACATCCGTGCCTTTGAGCTCTCCCACCGAGGCCTTGGAGATTTCTCGTTCCGGTTGCTGTCGGAAGGACGGCATCAGAGTATCGTCTGGGCTCGAAGTGGCCAAGAATCGGTGCTCATCACAGCGCTGTTGAAGAAGCTTCGTGAGAGTGGTGTTTCTATTGATGAAGCAGCAAAAGCCTGCCACAGCTCCGCACCGCCGGACAAACACAAGGAAGCAGTGCGATTCATGGAACCGCTTGCTCAAGAACTTTTGAATTGTGTTTTGGCCAAGGCGCCTGTCACAAATTCGGATGCCTCTGAAGAGCTTGCCAAAGCCAAAGCCAAACTGGCTGAGCACGGCATTGTGTCCCCTTTGAAGAGAAAGGCAACTGAAGATCCTGAGCCAGACTCAGAAAGAAGGGCAAAGCCCGCCATGCCTATTGCTGAGCCGGAGTCCCAAATGGAAGCTGAAAAGCTCCTTAAGGACCGTCAAAGAAAGCTGGAAACACGTCCCAAAGGAGCCACAGATGACCATGTCACTGAATGGCTGGCCACTTGCAAGAACAAGCCAGAGTTTAAAGGCAAGTACCAGCTGCTTGTTAAGCATGTACAGACCGTTCAGAAGCTTCTCAAAACTGAAGCCTCCAAAGACCAACTGGTCTCTGCTGCAAAAGAGTTCGGACTGGATCCGAAGCTGGCATCCCGACTGTCGATTAAGAATTTGTCTACAGTGATTGCTGTTGCACAATTTCAAACTGCTTGACTAGCAGTTCAATGCCAACATCTTGCTGCTTCCAGCAAACAGGGAATCAAGCAGCAAATTTGTATGTTGGGAGAGGCTGTGACGTTCTTCTTGCACCACTGTTCAGGCTTCAGCAAAGAGTCTGCACTGTGGGCCCAAGGCTTGCTCCATTTGCTGTTGTTGTTTTACTTTCAAGAAGGTTCCCTCTCGTCTTATGCTGAGACTATTCGACAAAAGCTTCAGCATTTTCGGGTCCACCCTGCCACCTACACGTGGCCACGATTTCAATCTCAGAATGCGGTGTACATGAAGACAGCTGTGGACTGGCGCCATTTTTCAAGTATTGAGCACTACCGGCAGCCTTCCACATTTATGTACATAGGATCCACGAGCCAATCAGTTTTTCGAAGAGAGTCTAACAGATTCTCAGTTGCCAGGAAGCTGGGCAGCGGAGGTGAAGCTCAAGCCGAGCTAGCAATTCGATATTGGGTGTCCAACCAGTGTCTCGAACAGTATACTTTGTTTCTTGTTGCTCCGTGCTCAACCTACAAAGAAGCATGGGTTACTGAGCACTGCTTAATTGGGATGTGGCAGCCCAAGCTGAATCACCCATACATTACCTCCTTTTTGAAGAGGAGTGCATTGGGCTTTAGACCTAACAAGAGAGTCCGACACAGTGTGTCCTCTAGGTTTGGGCTAAGACTGTGGAGAAAACCGAGAAAGAAACTCCACAGACAACTCCAGCCCGTTCCTTTTCAGCTAAAAAGAAGGTCGGCATGGGAGATATTGTTCAATCTTACATGCTTCAGCCGTGCCCCCTTTGAAGAGGCAAGAAAGCTGTGAAGCGACCGATACCTTCCTGATGAGATTTACTCTCTGATTCGGTTGAGCAATTGTTTGGAAGAGCCTGGCAAAAGCAAAGCCAGGAAAGTACTCCGAAGTGTTTGTCAGTATCGCAATATGTCATGGCCCACGGCTGCTTTAGGCTTGCAGTTGAAATTCACTGCATCCTCAAGCTTCGGGTCAGATGTCTCTAGATGGATCCGCAAGCTTGTGTTGACACACAAGCCGATTCTTATACCTTTTCATTTGCCGGTGTGCAAAGTCAGGGAGCAACCCCATCAGTCTCTCAAAGACTTTCTGCACAATTTCAAAGACTGGGATCAGTGGTTGCAGACTCACTGTGTTGCTGATGCACCGTGTCCTTGCAGTTATTACACAAAACAACTGCCAGAACAGTGCCTCACCAGGGGCCACGTTGTAGCAGGCATTGAGCAGTTGGGTAGCTTGCACCACTCCTTTGAAAAATTAGGGATTTGCAGTGCATCCTCCGCGTTTTTTCCGTCTAAACGAGAGTTTTTCAACCACAACACCCGTATGTTTGCATCTTGGAGGCGCAAACATTGTCTTCCCAAGGGTGTAGACCAAACTTTTCAGCAGTTTCTCGAGCAGCAATGGAGCAAGCATCTGGATCACCTGAGCCAAGAAAGCCGGCTCACGTGGAAGGATGTGTCCGCTGCTCGCAAGTAATTGCATCGACATTTTTATTGTGCATTGTGAAGACCATGAACCGAATCATCTTATAGTCTTCTGTCCGAAGTTCTACCTTCAAGCTGCCATGAAGAGCTGGCAGGATCCGGATGTGTTTGAACCTGTGGAAGGTTCAAAAGAACTCTGGAACCAACAAGTTTTCCAACAGATTCCCGGCACATTGAAGAGACGATATCGCTGGGAATCAATGCTTCGGGCACCCTACCGGTAGGGTTCGTGTTTCTCAAAAGAAAGAAAGAATTTTTGAAGGGGAGGACGATAATATCGTACTCTAACAGCTGCATCAAGAAGCTGTTGGTTGCAGCTGCGCAAGCAATTCTTTTGATGGTCCGCTTGGTATGGCCTGAGGCCATGGGCCTAGCCACCACCCCTCAACTTTGGAAGAGACTGCATCAGTTTCTCCGCCGCACCCCTCCAGCGGTGCATCTTGCTGAGGTCAACGACGATCTAGTGGGATTTTTCAACTCTGTGCCCAGACAGCAAATCTTGGATTCCTTGTCAATGCTTGTACAGCTTTATACGGACCAGGAATACCCTCCACATATTACGGTATCCCTGAAAAAGCAGCCCAACTGTGAGTCTGCTTGGCCAGGCAAACCCCTGGCAAAGGGCGCCAAACATATACGATTTCTTCATGTCTCTGACTTGACTGCTTTTGTACAGACTTCCTTTGAAGCAGGAGTGTTCACTACCTTTGGCCTGTTGTTCAGGCAACACCGGGGCACGTGTGTAGGCAATCAAATCAGCCCGGTACTCAGCAGCCTCCCAGTGATTCAAAGAAAATCCTGTTGGCAAAGAGAATGGCATCAGTTCCTGAGTTCAGCTAGGTTTTTCGACAACCAAGCGTCGGAACTGTTTGTTTGTAGGTATGTTGACAATCGATTGGTTGTATGCGACGAGACTTTTCTGTCGCATCAATGCATGAAAGATTTTCAACACCTCTCTTTCTATGGAGGGACCATCCAGCTGGAAGAAGTTTCGAATCATCAATTTCTGGGCGTCCGGCTCAACATGGCCAACAGGACTGTGACCTACCTGCAACCAGACAAAGCCTGGTCTATCAGGAATCCACGATCAGCAGGGAGTTGGTCCATTCGAGTTTCAGGCTACTTATCTCGGAAAGCCTTGATTGTACAGTATTCCTGGCCTCCAAGTAATCGGAAACATCAACTGCAGGAACTCCGCAATCTGTATATAGCTAGGGGATTCCCTGCCGAGATGTTGCTCTGAAAGCTTCAAGATTAAGACTTTTTTGCTTACTGTGAAGTTTCAGTGC